AAAACACACCTGCTGTCGATAAACACTTCGGCGACAACTGGCGCTTGCCTTGCGTAAGCAATATAGACATTTTTAACGAGAGAGAGAGAGAGAGAGAGAGAGAGAGAGAGAGAGAGAGAGAGAGAGAGAGACCGACCGACCGTTAATAGCAAATGAGTTCACGCTTCCTTTTAAATTTCCCAGAAGAAACGAACAGACTTCGTCACCATTTTGTCATTTATCATTTATTCCCGCTGAGTTGTCACATGTTTAAACGACGTCGAGTCATGAAAACTGCTCCCACGTACAACTTCTCAAAGCGTCAATCGAAACTCTGTATGCGCTGAATCTTTTTAAGGATATTTTTCGTATTTACTGTATGGGGAAATACTCAAAAGTTTGCGCTATTTGTAATTTTTGAAAAGAATCCGTGTGATTGATTATTCAATTACGTTTTTGCTCGTCATAATAATTTTAAAAATCAATTAATTATTAAAATGAGTGAAAATTGTTTTTTCGTCGAAAATCATAAGGAATTTGTAATACAAACAATTTAATTTTATTTTTCTCTCGTGAGGAAAACGTCCGTTTGTAAAATGTAAATATACTGACCCTAAATCTAAATCGTTCTCGTCGATTGAGATTTTTTTGGCATCAGCTGGTTGCCAAAACCACTTGCGACATCATATAATGTATAATGTGTTCAAAATAACAAATAAAAACTACAATAACAAATTAATTAATTAATACAATAATTACAGCTATTATTACAACCCTTATTTAATATAGTCATACTCTTTTTTTTATTTCATATATTAGGTTTCGAGGTCCGATTGATCAAATAAAATCTTTTAATTAATTAATCTTTAATTAACTTTTGGTTGAGATAAAAAGTTAATGTCACGAGCGGGTTTCGAACCCACGACCTTCGGCTAAACCTAATAGATGTAATAAGCAAAATAAAGTATACTTCACTAAAGCTCTCCGTGGCCATTTCATTTGTCGCCGAGAATCAAATAGATTAGACGACATTTGAAAAATGGCAAAAAGGAGGGAAAATTCAAAAAGGTGGGGTTGATATGGGAGGTTGGTATCCGAGTGGATCGAAGTCATGTAACTCAAGTGGTAGAGCAGCGGCGTATTTAGCCGAAGGTCGTGGGTTCGAATCCCGCTCATGACATCGACTTTTTTATCTCAACCAAAACCTTAATTAAAGGTTCTTTTGTTTATATTATTCAAGAAGTCCTCTATTGCAGAGGTGATCTCCCTAGTAGAGAAGCTTATTATGTTTGAGTGTCCTACCATTTCCCATTACGTTTTTAATAGCACTCAGCATCTTCCTACGTTTCTCTTTGTAGAGTGGACACTTCATGACAATATGTTCCAATGTTTCACCACACGTACACTTTTCGTCTTGTACCTAATTTATCTTTTTTAAGTAATATTTGCACATGCCGTGATTGGATCTAAGCCTCACCATTATCCTGCACGTCGTTTTTTTAAGAGTGTTCGTTGAAAACCAGGGTTGAGACTTTTTCTGTCCTACTTTTATTTTATTGAATTATGTTGAATATATATACGAAATAATGTATTCGGATCGCATCAGCTGCTTTATGCAAAAGGAAATCCGGTTAAAAACTGGTTTTAATGGAATTTGTACGGAAGGTCATGAACAGAGTTAGTTTTCGTTTTCTGTATATTGGAACTGAATTTATTTTTATTGAAATGCGTTGAAAGCAGAACGGTCAATTGGTTTCTTTTTAAAATTACATTAGATAATTTATTACAAAAGTGTCAAAAAGGAAATTCAGTTCATCTCTGGTTTTGACGAGATTTGATCAAAGACGGTCATAAGCAGAGTTAATTGAAGTTTCCTGCATGCATATTGAGACTATTTGTTTTTCAGCAACGCTTGAATTGCAAAACTAAACACAGCAACGCATAAATTTTTAAAAATTAAAAGGACATTGATTCTGCTCAACCTCACCGTTTAACAGATATTCGGCATCAAAAATCTCTTTTGTAGTAAAAGTTAATTATTAATGTTCCTAGGGATCCAGACAAAATACATCGTTAATTTAAAGCACATTACATATAGGCAGATGTTGAGACGAACGCATATCAAGGAACAGCACTATGCTTTGGTTAGGTCTGATGCGTGACATACTTTATATCATAATTAAGAAGAAAATCCTTCAACACAAACATAGAGTTCTTGGAAGCATAAAATGAAAATATAATGACAGAAAACCACCCAAATGTGAAAATAATCACCCCTGGCTTTCAAGGGACTTCTTGAGCAATAATCAAATTCAAACAGAAAGGAGTACTTTCTGAGTAGATCTAGTGGAGATTAAATAGTTGAAATTTGTGAAAACACTGTAATAAAAGTAGAATTTGTTATTTAACTAATAAATCCACAATACAAAAAGGTACAAAGTTTCAAAATTAACTCATGGAGATGTACAACTGTGTCTTTCAAACGGAGTTCATGAATGGAGTGATTCATAATTTCAAACAGTATTAGCTCTAAGAAAACGCTACATTTCATAATAAAACTAATCCTGGGCAGATAAAGAAATTGTTAAGGAAATTAACAAGACAATGATCATGCGTTACTACACCACTTACTGGATGAAAACGCCATCCTGCAACACAGAGCAGAAGTCTTAGGGTTTTATCGCAAAACTGTGGAGGTCTATGATCATTAAGGGTATCTTTGAAGAGTTTGGAAAAAAAGCCTCAAAATTCATTAGCAGAACAAGTAAACAATTTAGAAGCGAGAGGTCTCAAAGGATTTTAACACTAAACGCGAGAGTATCCTTGCAGAATTTTGAGAAGAAAAAATCTCGTCAAAATTCAAAACTCTCAGAGGAGCCGCCAAGAAATAATTTAGAAGCTGGGTGACCCAATTGGCAATGGATGGATCAGGCACAGACGCGGTAATCGGTTTGATCGGTTGTTAATTTTTTCTTGTTTCTAGCATTGTCAATCATTGTATTATGCTTATAAATCAATTAAAAACTAGTTTTCATGAGATCTGACCAAATATGGTCATAAGCAGTTTTATTATTTTGTGTTTTCTGCATTCATATTGAGACTACTTCTTTTCACACCAGTAGCTCAAGGAACTCGAATTTACAAAATGAAACTAATTTTAAGAAAATAAATTTTTCAAAAATTAACTTGGCAATGATCTTGCGCTACCGCACCACCGGCATGATATACCCTTCTGCAACCTTATTAAAGCTAAAAAGTAATGGTTTCAGCACTGGAGATTATCAATAAGATATCCTTGCAGAATTTTAAGAATAAAAAAGCCTCAAAATTCACAACTGAAGCCGAGAAGTTAGAAGTTAGACAACTCCAGCCTCTCGATTTGTCCCAGACAGAGTTAAGTTGTTTATTTCCCAGCATTGCTCATGAGATGTATTACGCAAAAATAAATTCATTTTACAACTGGTTTTGATGAGATTTGATCAAAGGCAGTCATGAAGCTTAGTTAAGTTTGTTTTCTGAACGCATAGGATTTAAGGTCTAGGATTTTAATTTTATCAAGATTAATGAATTTTATGGTTTTGTTTTAAATACATAACCATTATTTTTAATCCTCCACTTTCTGTATATTTAGATTAAGATGTTTAATTTATACCGAACGATATTTTATAATATAGAAAAAATTGCACGTTATGTTATTTCGTATCACTTGATTATTACTATCTGAGATGTTCTGCCATTAGTCAGTAATGGATAAAGTTCATTAACTTGTTGATCGTATTGGGATATTTTACTATCTCGGTTTATCGTTTGTCTTTATTTTTTTAAATTTATTTTTATTTTTTATTTTTTTGTTTTTTAAACAATGGCGCTTTGCCATTGCAGTTTAATTGTTTCACCAGCGACCTCGGGCCCTCTTCTCTTCTAATTGAGGACGTAAAAACTATTTTTTAACTCCGTTCCTTCAGATCTTGATCTGTACGTAAAAATTAACTGATCCGAGGCAGGGGTCCTGTCTCTAGTTAATAGAGCATTGTCTTCTTTTCTCTAAACTTCTGAGGTAATGCTATCTCCTGTCGGGGATCGACGCTCGCATAACAAGAGCCCCACAGATTGCAAAACATTTCCCAGAAGACAATGCAGGGGCATTGTATAAATTTGCACTTGCACATTTCCAGTGGGGATGTGTCGGACTGAAATGAACAAAATGCAATTTGCAGTGTCGTTTGTCGTCGACTGACTAATATCGGTTTACTTGAGAAAATATATCTCAATAAACTTACTTAAAAAATCAGTATTCACGATCTTTGTGTTAACTCTGTTAAGTCCTGTTAGATCGAGAAAAATGATGACGAAGACTTGTAAGAATCGGCTTGTTAACATTGCTCGATCTAACAGGCCAGGGCCAATGTTAGATGTTAGGTCGAAAATGTAGTTACATTGCTATCCGTAAGGGCATAGGTAACCAACATGGCAGCCATGAATTTAACAACTGTTTTTTGTTTACATGCATTTTAATTCTTAAATACTCATTAATTAAATAAGACCAATACATTTCTTTTGTTAATTTCTCACCTGTCCTTTTACTCTCATTCTTAACAGATATATCTTAACAGATCCTATAAAGTTGTAGGCTGTTAGACCTTAGGATACAAGTTAAGTATGTCGCTGTTAGTACATTTCGAGTGCATAGATAGCATTTTGATAAAAGTTAATTGTCCTTTTTTATTAACTTCTGGCATCTTACAATTTAACACAAAAGGAAACCAAAACAAACAACCCTTCAAGGACTGTTATAACTTTATTTTTGGTCCTACCAATCGCCACGCTCAGCATTGCAGAAAAATTAACATGCTAAGAAAAGAAGAGGGCATTCACGATCTTACTGGACATTTCTCTATTCGAGTTAACATCTTACAAATATCGTGAATACCCCTAATATATCGTAAAATAACTGTTCTAACCTTATTCCATGCTAAATTGTGTTTGTTATTTTTAACATTTTTTTATTTTTTGTTCTTCAGACAGTTCCGGTTATATGGAAAAGCCCCTGGCGACCTACAGACCGCCAGCCATCTCCTCTGCAGTGATCGGCGAAGAAAAACGAGTTTTCTGCGAGGCTTTCGTAGGTGAGCACCAACCTTTTTTGTTATTAATTGTTTAGTAATTAGTTAATTGTGTAGTAAACTCCAAGGTGGTAAGTTTTGTTTTAATTATCACTTTGTACAGTTTTTTAAACATAATATTAAATATTGGTCTGAAGTGTAACTTGTATGCGGTTTTTTTTAAACTAACGTATTTATTAGATACATTACCACCCTAATAAGGACATTTCCGCTCATATTGTTTTGCCACCATTATCACTCTTTTGGTCCGCTTAACGCATTTCTGCTTTTTATAACCACACACACACCTCTAAAATTGGTTAGAAGCCGAAATGTAGGACCAAAAATGTTGGGTATTCAGCGACCTCGTCCGTTTGTGGGAGGTAATCTTTTTTCCAAATGTGTTGTCAGATCTATTTTACGACACTTTGCCACTCAAATCACTCACCTGATTGGATTTAGAGCTTCTGTATATTAAATAATCCTTAAAATAGCGTCAATAGGCAATAACATGCAAAATAAATGTCATCTAATATAAATAACAAATATATTACAAGAAAAGGACAGATAAGTTACGGCAAAAGTAAACAAAGTTAGTTTCTTATTTTAATAATAAAACTATCCAATAAAATTATAGTATTAGTTTTAAATTAAAAAATTAATTAAACAAAGAAACAACGAAAGAGCTCTTCAATGAATTAAGAAAATAAAGAAAAACTAAGTTAGAATGAAGGTACTAAGCATATATTTAAATTAAACTTTTTAGTTCACTTGTGAGTACTCTCGATGTATAGATGCGATGTAGCGCTGCGATTGTGCGGGAAAGACTGATGAAGTCAAGCCCACTATGCTGCGGTGCGGGAAGATGTCAGTAGAACACAACTGATTGTAGTGTGGCGGACAAATAAAAATAACGCCCGGATTGTTGAACAGAACTTAAACTATCGGATTCACAATACAAAACGCTTCTACAAAATATTACTGCCTGAAACAACATGTGGAACTACAGCGACGACGGGTGGTGTAATGTGGTTAAGGCTCGGGGCCCTGCAAAGGAGCACGTCGAGCCCTCATCCACGTCCCTTTCTCGATCCAGGTTCCTTCACTCTTTCCTGTGAACCCTCCCAACCCTTTGTTACAAAGGGGGGGGGGGTCCGGGCACAAAATAATGGTGCAGCCCTGAGGGCGTGGCAACCTCTCTAAAGCACAAGCTGTACTTGTGTCGGCCTCGGGTCGGCATAGGCTCTTTCTGACCCCCAAGTTCAGCCGCTTCCGTCTATAATAAAAAAGCTAGACAAAGCGCCTAAGAAACTGTAAAGAGCCGTCAACGGCTTAGGAACAGTGTACAAAGAAGGCCAAGACGGGTCGGTATGGGCGGTGGGTGCCTATCAGAGGGCATGCCGGGGGTATCAGAGGCACATGAGGGTTAGGGAACCAGATCCTGTCTGCATAGGCTAACAGTCTACTACAGGGTAACAGAAATGTTCCAAAATCCAGCCCCTGTTACACTGGGAATGGATTCGAAGTGGTTCTTGGTGACGCCGATGGCGAGAACTTAGAGAAGAGGCTGTCTTCTACCTCTGACCTTCGCACGAAACTTGCGTATGACCACCATTAGACACCCGTCCTCACGGGATACGGCGGATCGGACGGCAGCGTATAAGCGTTGAGGACGCTTTGATTATGCTGAAAAGTCCCTCAAATGCGTGAGTAGTGGCGGATGGGAACGGGTAGTGAATCCTTGCTCCTACTCGAGTATGCTTTGCACGTAGGTGTAGATAGGCTGAGCTCGATTGGAGGCTTTTACCGTCTCCTCTAGAGAGTGGTTAACAATTCCACTTTAAACAAAACCGCGGCCGGAGCGGATCCGGTAGTTTCTGTGCTAGAGAAGCCCCAATACTCTGGGAGATAGAGTGGCCTTCTCTCTCTAGGGAGTGCGCGGGAGACCGGGCTGATGTATTTCGGCTTAGGTAGCCCTAAGCCCGCGGCATGCGGTCTGATGCTTAATGCAGACCCGACCACCCGGAATGGGCAAGCGGGGAGCGAGGTTGTACAGGCCCTTCGGGGCTGAGCTGCCTCTACACCAATGCTGTGGCAGTAACACCATTCTGTCATATGTGGAGGTGCGTCAGCTCTCATCTTGAGAATCAAAACGTCCGATAAAGCCGAATAGGCTAGGTGCGGACGTTAAAGATCCTCATTGTCCTTTTAAGGACGACCGAGTATACGGGAGAGCATGCCTGAAACATCTAACTTTAAAGAAACGAAGCGTGTGCTGTCTTCTTGGCGGTTGAGACGCGACGTTGGCCAACGTCTTAAAACTTGGTTATTTAAACGAAAGTCAGGGGAAACTTCGCGGTGCGCCGGCAAGTGCAAGTGCAAGTAGGTGGCCAAGGGAGTATATTGTCCTTTAACAAAGACTGACAAGGAGGGAGGCAAAAAACAACAATTTTTAGTAGTCTTCATATAGGAGGAGTTCCTTATCCCACTAATGATGTAAGAAAATAATTGAAATAAAAGAAATTATAAATAAAAAAAGGTATAATTTAACACAACACAGGTCAAGGGTAGGTGTCATGTGAGGTCTGGTCAATCAAATCAGAATGATGCCAATTCCCGCTTTTGGCAGGTCATAAAACAAGATAGGTAGACCAAAATGTTCTGAAACGACCAAATTACATTTCCGCAGACTTCTAGAGTGCCAAAATCTCTATAAAACCCTGAACAATCTAAATAACACATAACATTAGAACCTAATACCGGGCAAAATACCGTGGCATCTCTTGTTTTTAAGTATACTGTATGAAGTATTAGTTCTATACTTTTTTCCAAACTTAATTAGATACAAAATACAATCCTTGTATGGCTATTTACGCTCATTTCGGCCTGCCCAACCTCACTCCTTTGGTCTGCTTAAATCATTTCTGCCTTTTATACCCGACGATTGATAAAATAACACGAAGGCTCACCTCTGAAGACGGTTAGAAACCAAAACACGTTTGGTTAGCTGAAAATCGGGTGTTGGCTGACCAAAATATTCGGAAACATCAAACTACAGATTGATCACCACGGAGACCCCAAGAGGACCACAATCTCTATAAAAACCCTATTTATTCTTTTAAAAAATTAAGCAATAAACTGTAGGAACTAACAACCCAAAACACCTGGAAGTTTGTGATCGTCCGTAGTCACTAGTCCGTCCGGTGTCGCCGTTATGACTAGCAGAAACGTTATGTTTCATTTTCAATGGATGTTCAAATCATAAAACACACAGCGGGAGTAGGCAGAACGAACGTGTAAAAAGGTAAGCGGAGGAAAAAATGTTTACCTGGATTTGATCGTTGCATCTCTGTACCAGCCCGAAATGAAAAATCCTACAACCTGATGTTTTGTACGATAGTTTAATGTTTAATTTAAGTTTTGTGTGTTTATTTAGACGTTTTCGAGTTTAAAATTACGTTCTTTCATTGCTGTTTTTTGGAAGATGACTGTTCATTCCTATTCAAATTTTCGCCGATGTACAGGCGTGTCACACGCCAAAGTTATCGTCTTTTTTAAGATGATAATTCTTTTAACAAGCCAAGAAACAAAGAAAATAAAACACAAATAAAAGGAGAATCAGGAGGCGTTTTCTTTTAATCTCAATTCAGCTTTGTCACGCTAGAAAATCTTTTAGATCGATTTTAGCGACATATGGATTTTTATTTTTTATTAATTTTATGCGGATTTAATTGGAATACTCCAAGATAAAATCAACGGCAATATTCTATGTATATGGTAGTACTATAATGAGTGCCACTGGCTTCCTCCTTTGAGAAATATTAAATAGTTTTCGTTGGCCATTTAGCAGGCCCGAAACTAATTAAAAAAACCCTCTTGAAGTTTTTTTTCTTCCTTTTTTAAGGATTATCAGTTAAGAGGTTACATGAACCCTCGGGGTGCCGATGTTTTTGAAAAAAACAAACATTCGGAAGTATGTCGGTACCTCTTGGCTTTAAAAGTCAATTATTAGTGTTTCTACGTATGTATAACGAAATATTCTAGCCAAATTGTTTTTGAAACACATTACATAAACTCAGAAGATGAGAATGTATCCATACAAATGAACACTGCTTGTTAGGCTTGATGCTTTAACTTGAACTTTAAGCAGAATTAAGAAGGAAAACAATGATAGTAAATTTTCGGAGGCGTAGAATGAAAATATAAAGACCCAAATAAGAAAATAACCACACTTGGCATCCTATGAAATCTTGAGCAATAATCGCGTTTAAAGCAGAGCAGTTTGGTTAAATCTAATGGAGATTAAAGATTGGAAATTTGGGAAAATACTTTGTAATAAAAGTAGAATTTGTTAATTATTCAGAAATTGTGAGATGCGGTCTGGTGTGATGTAAGTTTCAGAAAAACATTTTCTTTATCGTGCCAAAGTTTCGATCTTTATTGAGATCATCTTCAGGGCCTGGGATTTACAAACATTGTTTACATTTAACAAATACATTTAGGATGTGGAAAAGTGAATTTATACAATGCAAAATATATTATTTTTTATATTCAATCAAAGTATTTCTACTCACTCAAAGTAATAGAGAGTTTATAAACATAAAGCAGCAAAATCTCACTGGCACTCTCAACACGACACGCAAGAATGGCACTATTACATAGAAGACACACTTTGAGTGAGTAGAAATACTTTGATTGAATATAAAAAATAATATATTTTGAATTGTATAAATTCACTTTTCCACATCCTAAATGTATTTGTTAAATGTAAACAATGTTTGTAAATCCCAGGCCCTGAAGATGATCTCAATAAAGATCGAAACTTTGGCACGTTAAAGAAAATGTTTTTCTGAAACCTACATCACACCAGACCGCATCTCACGATTTCTGAATAATTAACAAATTCTACTTGTATTACAAAGTATTTTCCCAAATTTCCAATCTTTAACCTCCACTAGATTTAACCAAACTGGTCTGCTTTGAACGCGATTATTGCTCAAGATTTCATAGGAAGCCAAGTGTGGTTATTTTCTTATTTGGGTTGATTAATGTCTTTATATTTTCATTCTATGCCTCCGAAAATTTACTATCATTGTTTTCCTTCTTAATTCTGCTTAAAGTTCAAGTTAAAGCATCAAGCCTAACAAGCAGTGTTCATTTGTATGGATTCATTCTCATCTTCTGAGTTTATGTAATGTGTTTCAAAAATTAGAACACCTAGTTATCAATACTTAGAAACACTAATAATTGACTTTTAATGCCAAGAGGTACCGACATACGAAGGGTTTTTTTTTTTTCCAAAAACATCGGCACCCGAGGGTTCTTGTAACCTCTTAACTGAAAATCTTTCGAAAAGGAAAAAAAATTCAAGAGGGCTCGTGCCAACGTTTCGATCTTTATTGAGATCATCTTCAGGGCCTGGGATTTACAAACATTGTTTACATTTAACAAATACATTTAGGATGTGGAAAAGTGAATTTATACAATGCAAAATATATTTTTTATATTCAATCAAAGTATTTCTACTCACTCAAAGTGTTTGTCTTCTGTGTAATTGTGCCATTCTTGCGTGTCGTGTTGAGAGTGCCAGTGAGAGTTTATAAACATAAAACAGCAAAATCTCACTCGCACTCTTAACACGACACGCAAGAATGGCACTATTACACAGAAGACAAACACTTTGAGTGAGTAGAAATACTTTGTTTGAATATAAAATATATTTTGCATTGTATAAATTCAGTTATCCACATCCTAAATGTATTTGTTAAATGTAAACAATGTTTGTAAATCCCAGGCCCTGAAGATGATCTCAATAAAGATCGAAACTTTGGCACGATAAAGAAAATGTTTTTCTGAAACCTACATCATACCAGACCGCATCTCACGATTTCTGAATAATTATCGATTAGCGGTCACTAATCACCACACATATCTACATGAGTAGAATTTGTTTATTAACTGTTCATTTAATTGTCAATCTCTGTTAATTAGCGCCTGAAACGACTGCAGATAAAAACATTATGTGATAATTCTCCAAAAGATGAACACTATGAGAAGACATTGAAAGTGTTAATAAATTAATAATAGAAAATAATATTAAGAAGTTGATAGATGAAGAGTATATTACAGTTACATCTTGTTGCAACAAATATATTATTAATGATAGTAATTTCTTTGCAGGAGATATCGACCTGCCTGATGCAACAAGTGAAGTTTCATGGTTGAAGAAAGGCAACAGCACATTGGAAAACCCTCATATCAAAGTTGAGCAAGTTCAAAGGTAAATTTTCCACATTTTTTAAAATTGATTTCTTATGAATGGGGGTTAGGGAATCCGTTAGTAAATAATTTCTTTATACTGTAATTTGCTTATGTTGTCCAATTTTTGTTGTTGAACAAGAATATTTTTTATAGGGAAAATGGGCAGATTGTCGGAGCTTATTTAATAATAAGCAAAGTTGAGTGGTCAGACCTTGGCACATACACGTGTACGATCAGCAACACAGGGGACCAGAAAATTATGATGGAAACTCATTTGAAAGGTAAATTTTCATTATTGTTTAATCTAAACGTATTGCTATAACGCTTCTTCTTGCAGTTTTCACAGAAGGGTCTGAACAGCATTGCTTCCAGAACCATAAAACACTCATAGTCGTTGCTTTCATACTGAGCCTACTGTGTTTGGCAGGCTTGTACATCTTTACATTTTTTAAAAGGAATGATACAACTTTAAATAGGCTTTGGATGAAAATGACAGAAAGTAAGTTAATACAGATCTTGTGTGTTTAACAATGATTTTAATAGTTTAATTTTTTATTAATTGTCTCATGTGTGTTGTAGATGCTCCATTCAATAAGCAGAGCAGGTTCAAATCTGGTATTGTCATCATCCATGCTGAAAACGATGGAGCATTTGTGGAAGAAGCGATTTCCCCATTAGTCAAGGCTCAAACTGGATTTTTTATCTTCACTCAAAAAGTTAACAACAATAGTAAGGACAATTCATTTTTAAAAGTACAAAGATTTGATTTGTTTTTTAAATGAAACTTTTTCTTCTAGATGAGCTTTTTGAAGAGACAAAAGAACTTTGTAGGAATGTTCAAAGGACAATAATTATTCTATCACGAAATTTGACAAATGAATGGAGTCGAGAAGGAATCAACAGAACTTTGGGGAACCTCATTATGAAAGAGCCAACTTACCTTGTGGTCCTTCTCGAAGTATGTTGATTGCTCAATTGTTTTTCTTTTTTATTCCAAAGTTCACAAAATACTGATCTTTTGTTTTAAAAAGTCTCTTCCAGAACCAGAGGACAAGCTTACAGTTCCATACTTCGAAAAGGTGAGCAACAAGTTTAATCTTCTTCTGTGGGATGATGCTTCCACTGGAAACCACATATTTTCAACAAATGATCAAGCTCCCCAGCCTATACTCCACCGCTTGGAACACAGAGAACCACATTCCCCATTTGATATTTTTCATCTTAGTAGGAACAGATCTTCTGAAGTACATGTCTAATATGTTCTATTAGCCAATAAATCTTCCATTACTTCACAAAGTGAATATTGTTCTTTTTCTCTTTAATATATATATTTTGTGTGTTTAGATATGAATGATATTCCATTAATTTATTCAGTCCGAGAGGATGTGAACCCTTGAAAAGGGGCATATGTTGTGTTAGGACATATTCACCGTGACGATTAGTTTTGTTCAATTTTCAGGCTTTTTGTAAATGTTTTATTTCAAACTAAAAGCTACAAGGTATAAACAAAACTATATTAAAATTTGATAAGTATATAAAATTATGTTGTTGCAAGTTTGAAGAAAAATCTTCATTGTTTTTTGAAAATTATTCTCCAAATTTATTGTAATATAAATGTAAGGTTTATTTTGGGATATCTACATTCAACTATCCCTTTTATTACTTTTTCCCTTGTTGGATTTTAGCTTATCACGTTTTTAAACAAACTCTAGACAGAGTAGGAAAAAAATCACTAAACTCCTAATTAACCAGGATGCACATTTCTGCCAAAGTTGGGTGCAAAGTATTGTAAATTTTATTATACCTAACTTATTGTGATATATTCTATATGAACAAGCAATGTTGTGTCCCTTATCAGTATTGAAGTCATAATTTTAACTGTTTATGTATAAAACCACGTATGAGGTGTTAGTATGTTTTATAGGTTAATAGATCAAATTAGATTAAAAATTGTGTAAATAAAATAAATTTGTAAAAAAAAGGGGTAAAACTAATAAATGCAGGGTTTACTTAGTCTTTGGAAAAAAAGAAAAAAAGATTTTTCTAAGCAAAAATGTATTTTCATGTAAATGTCTTTTTTTAGTATGTAGTCTTCAAATAAAAATTGTGTTTCTTCAAACCAACACAGTCTTATTAATTTCAATAAATCCTGAATGTAAAATTGCTGATTTCACTCACTCTCCGCTAACAAGTTACAATCTGTAAAATTTAACTTTGAAGTCTATAGCCAAATGTTTTACAAGGTATGTTAAAATACAGAGTTTTACTGTACCCACCATGAGGTATTGTTAAAGTTGTATGTGGGAACACTGCAAGTCTCTTCTGTTGCTCGTTCAAAATGATCCATTTCAACCGAAGTATCACGACCGATGAGAAATGAATTTTGCACGATAATCAAAGTCGTGCAGTGGTTGGACAAGGCTGAAGCACCAAAACACTTCCCGAAATCAAATCAGCACCCTAGTCTCGGATTATTCATGCCCAGTGTTTATAATTTTAATGTAATTCATAGGCGGTTTTATTTAACTCAAAGGAAGCTGAGTATGATGATTTTCTGGATTTTTGTGATTTGGGGTTTATTCAATAGTGGAAAAGAGTTAATTACTGTGGATGTTAACGAAGGAAAAGGAAATATGAAAATAAAGAGAAATGGTTTATTTGTTTTATGTTGTTGGCGCAGCTACAGCCGAGTTTGTATGTATATGTTCTGTAATTAATGCTGTGTGTTTTTGTTGATGTAAACCATTTTTAGAAAGTTGCGTTTGAATGTTTTTTCAGTGTTTAGTATCTGTATTTTGTCAAAATCAAAGTTTTTTTGTTTTTGAATATCGTGTGTGGGCCATTTTTTGTTTTAATTTATTTTATCAAAATCAAAGCAGTTTGGCTTTTCAAATGGTGTGTGGCCAATGCAGTGGGATTAGTCACTGCTGTTTTACAGTCATTGATGTGTCGTTTTTTCAGTTTTTCTGAAAATTTACAACCATAAACAATTATAACCCAACCACAAAACAACATCCTCCACAGCAAGTACAAAACACATCAACGACCAAATCGCCCATAGACAATCCAATATACATTAACATTCCATTCGTCCATACAAGTTTTGTCCATTTCTCCCCACAAACCACATAAAATATCCTTCAAAAACTACGAAACAGTATACACTTTTTAACCATAGTCAAAAACCCAACACCAGCAACCCATAACACACCACAGAAAAACACCAAAAACTAATCCCACTGCATTGGCCACACACCATTTGAAAAGCCAAACTGCTTTGATTTTGATAAAATAAATAAAAACAAAATATCCGAACGCTACTTTATAGAAATGGCTTTGCACCACCAAAGACACATACAGCGTTAATTACAGACGCATACAAACTCAGCCTTCATAAAGCAAATAAACCATTAAACTTTATTTTTGAATTTCCTTTTCTTTGCTTATAGTTCATATTAACGAACTTTTTTCCAATATCGAATGAATGTTGAATGCAACACCTTCACGGCCTGGATAAATTACAAAACATATATTGATTGGAAAAAATACAATTCAAGATGAAAATATAAAGTTTGAACCAAGTATTTCATACTCATATAAAGTGTGGTGCTATTCTTGTGGTGTCATATTGGTTTCATGTGAAAGTGTTGTGAAAAGTGCACTTGTATTCTGTTGATTTTATATGATTGTGACATGGTGGGGGACGCAGTAAATCTGGTAAAATTTCTTTCATCATAGGCGGTTTTATTTAACTTAAAGGAAGTCCAGAATGGGGATTTTCTGGATTGGATTTGTGATTCGGCATCCAATATTAGAAAGGAAGTTAATTATTAAGGATGAAAAAATGAAGGAATGAGAAAACTAAAATTAATTGTTTAATAGTTTATTTGGTTAATGATGTTGGCATAGCTACGGCCGAGTTAGCTTGCATCTGTTGTAATTAATGCTATATGAGTTTTTGCTGATGTGAACCATTTCTAAAAAGTTACGTTTTTTTTTCAATCATAAACCATTATAACCCGACCACAAAACGACATCCTCCACACTACACAACACAACATTGACCCAATCACTCGTAAACAAACCAATTTACAATTCCATTTTCCATTCCATTCGTCCACACGTTGACACACAAGTACATTTCTCTCCTCAGACCACATTAAAATAGCCTTGAAACATACAAATCTGATCTAATTCATAAAAGTAATTGCGTGAACTATGCAACTACATACATTAGAATTATACCGCAATATCTGAAAAAAAAAAATAACGGAAAAACCAACACATCTATGACTGTAAACCACCATAATTTAATCCCACTCCATCGGCCACACACCATTTTGAAAAACAAAAAAAATGATATTTATTTAGAAATCGTGAGATGCGCTCTGGTGTGATGTAGAACAGAAAAACATTTTCTTTATCGTCCCTTGGTCGGCTCTTTTCACCTCAAAGAAGCCGACGCCTTATACAAAAATGTCTTTTCTATACCGACATCCTTCCCCACCCCTTCAAAATCCAACGTATATAAACACAAAATAGCAAAATCTCACTGGCACTCTCGACACGACACGCAAGAATGGGACAATTACACAGAAGACAAACACTTTGAGTGAGTAGAAATACTTTGCTTGAATATATAAAAAAATATATTTTGCATTGTATAAATTCACTTTTCCACATCCAAAATATAATTGCTATATGTAAACAATGTTTGTAAATCCCAGGCCTATCGACTATGTAGCTATCGACAAAATCGATGAGCGAAGGAATTTTATTAGATAGCCGATTGGGCCCAAGAACTTTGTTCTTCATTTCAATTATTCCGAAATGTAATTGCTCATTAAACAATCTTTGATTCGCTAATTTTACCAAGATTGTTGATATTTGTTCATGAGGAAACTTTATACTATTTAGGTGGTGATTTAATTAAAATTGCATCATTATTTATATGAGAAGAGGTCTGGGTCGAAACATTAAAGATGAGGATAAATTCCAATCGAGTAAATCCGTAACTTTATTTATTTCTTTATCTTTATTGCGAATGGTGTTAACAATTATTCAGAAATCGTGAGATGCGGTCTGGTGTGATGTAGGTTTCAGAAAAACATTTTCTTTATCGTCCCTACGTTTCGATCTGTATTGAGATCATCTTCAGGGCACTCTCAACACGACACGCAAGAATGGCACAATTGCACAGAAGACAAACACTTTGAGCCCTGAAGATGATCTCAATAAAGATCGAAACGTTGGCACGATAAAGAAAATGTTTTTCTGAAACCTACATCACACCAGACCGCATCTCACGATATCTAAATAAATATCGATTAACCGTCACTAATCACCACAAAAAAAAAATGATTTTGACAAAATACAAATACTAGGCATCGAAAAAATTCAACAGAACTGATTTCTGGTAACCATTGAAGAGTATGTCGTTTCTGTGAATTTATTTTGATTATCGCAATTAGCTTTTTGGTATATTTCACAGTCTTTACTGTTAGCCAAATTGTTTTTGGAACAATGTACACAGCTCGGTTCCTTTGAGACCTTGTCGCAATCTTGTAAGTCGTGTTCATCACATCTGACGCAGCGTTGCTTGCCCCTGCATTGTGCAGCAATGTGATTAAATCTTACAGTTGATACACTGTCTTAAGGGGGGAACATAAGGACGAATTGAGCAATAACTTCCAAAAATTGTAATGGCTTCTGGTAACATTTGTCCGAGAAAAGTGACCGTGCACTAGAGGAATAGTGTGTAGGATCTCGCCGAGTAAACACGTCGAATTATAGCTCTGTGTTAGATCTGAATTTTTAGTGGGTTGAAGTGGCCTGTGAGCGGCTGGAAACTGTTCGGCTTTCAACAGGCTTCAAGATTCTGTATTGTACTACAAGAAGATTTCAGGTAGGACGTTGCTATATTCGTATTTGTATCTGAATTTTTCGTATTTTATTCCGGTTTGTTTTTAACGACAAAACCTCCTAGGAGCGGAGAGGGAATATTTCACACGTGATTCTCTTTTTCCCTCCGATTAATTCCCTCCCAGCTGGTCGATTGAAATTCCCGTGCATTGAAGGAAATTTTCTCTTTTTCCCTGCGGTTATTTCTCTTTTTCCCTTTCCTTATCAGCTGTGAATAATAAACAAATCAAAATAAATTTAAAAATTTAAGCAGGAGTCGTGCTACAGTGTCCATATATACATCTCTTATATATGGACACTGTCATTAATGTTAAAATGGCAGAAAATATAGATAAAGCTGATAAATTCTATACTGAAATGGATCAAAGACCGCTAGACGATGACATGGCTGACCGCAGAAGAGCGTTGCTAAAAAGGGCGATAAAGCCGAAAAAACTTGTCCCAGGTAATACAACTCAACACACTACCACCACTGTAGGCTGCTCCAGACATGGTGAATCCAATGAGACGGATACAGATAGTGAGTTGTTGACAAAAAAGACTAATGGTCACATGGCGAGAAAGAGACTGCGTGCACAGGAAATCTCTACTTCGGATGAAGAACTGAAAAATGACAGTGGTTTTGCAATAGTTGACAATGCATTAAAAATAAGGGCTTCTGTGTCGCAATACATGATTGCGCCAGAAAATAAATGCCCTAAACCTGCAGCAGCCTATGTCACTGCCCAGGTAGATGAATTGTTAAACATTATGCAAAAGATCGCGCAAGAAAATGCGAATCTAAGGGGCAAATATGCTCCTCTAGGAGATAAGCATGATGACCGCACGCAACAAAACACCGCTGATGCCGCTGTAGCTGCGCTGACGCCGGCGATTAAGAACATAGCGAGTGAATTAAAGCGAGACCCTATCGGCGATGTTGATACACCCATGAAAGGAATAGTTGCTGAATTGAAATGCTATATTAGCAAAATACAGCAATTCGGAACAAAGAATGGCATGAACAGTTCAAGAAATGGATAGGTTTCCTGCAACCCCCAAAAGGATACTACCAATCATACAAACGGACGTAATAACTCAGAAATCGAAAAAAGAAATACAGAACAAACATGGTCGACGTAGTAGCCAGAAGAAAAAAAACAAAATCACCTGACAAGCCTACTCCTCAGAAAAACACTAAACAAGCCTCAATGAACATTGACAAAATTGTATATATTGATCCACAAGAAAACATGGACACAACAAACCTCCTTATACAGGTCAAACAACTCATTAACCCAAGACAAAAAAAAATTAGAGTAGATAACATACTAATAACAGCTAAAGGAGGAATAGCTATTAAAACGGAATCAACTGCTGATCGACAGGCAATTTTTACTAATCAACAGCTACAACAAGCTCGGTTCACGGCATGCATAGCCACTAAATGACACCCTAGTTTGCTAATCCTCAGAACACCGAAAGAACGCCTACACAAATTGCAGAACAACTCGTTGCACATAACAGCGCAGAAGGAATATGGATGCCAAACGCAGTGAGACCTCTTTTCACTGTAAGATACGGAGCTGGCACAAGACAAGATTCTCAATTTGTGCCCTGGGTCGTGGAGGTAGACCCGAAAACTTGGAAATCCGCCATCGACAGGGGAAAAGTGTATTTAGACTACCAGTCATGTGTAGTGAAAGAATACTCTGGTGTTACGCGTTGCTACAACTGCCAGTTAGTTATACGGACACGTTGCAGCCAACTGCCTGAAAAAAGAGCCGACTTGTGGTATATGTGCTTCAAATCATGACACCAGAAGCTGTGACAGGTCAAAAGTAAAGTGCGCGAACTGCCTGAATCAAGGTCTCAATAACAGCAATCACCATGCAGGCTCAAAACTGTGCCAAATTCATATGAAGGCTCTCACTAGAGCACGGAACATAACGGATTATGGAGATGAGACAAACACCACGGACATAACAAAAAATACAATAACGGTACATCAACCCAGCAAAATAGTCGAGCATAATTTAATAGATATGGACACTGACAACACACAAGAAAACACTGCACCAAACGCACAATGATCGATATCAACAGGGAACATATACGCAGCACAATTGGCCCAAGTATAGACCCAATAAAATTTCTAAAAATTGCTCAACTAAATTGTCACGGCTCAGAAATTGTCAGTTGCGAGGCGAGAGTCCTAGCTCAAAACCAAGAAATAAGCATTCTCTTGGTCCAGGAACCGTGGCGTCAGGGCATCGACAGAGCCATGGGCTGTATAGCAAGGGTGGTCAGATGGAAGGATCCTGTCCGAGTTAGGGCAGCGATTTACATCACGGACAGAAACATTAAGAAGCTTGCTGGAAAACAATCAAGACATGGCATGTTGCCTCATCGAGTGGGCTGGCGAGCAAATTATACTCGCATCTGTCTACTTTGACAGACGCCGAGATTTTCAGGAGGATGTGTAAACCTTCTCTTCCTCTTTAATAAGAATCTGATGATAAGCCGATTTTAAATCGATACTACTAAAAACTTTATACCGTGCCACATTATTGACGATTTCTTCGATTCGGGGCAGAGGGTAAGCATCGAGTTAACCTATTGATAGTTTTGGAATAGTCGACGACCATACGCTTTTTGCGGTTATCGGTGCTAACGAGTGCTTGCGCCCGCCACGGAGACACACTTTCCTCTATGATGCCTTCCTTTAGGAGTCGAGTTATTTCTTCACGGATAAACTTTTTATCGTGTTCCGAATAACGCCCGCTACGGGTTTAACATCGGGTGTCAGATTGGCGAATAGTGACACAGGAGTTACTTTCGCGGCCTTTATACTACAAACAGTGATTGATTCTTTATTCCCGCCAAAGGAAAGGGCTACGCTACGGTGCTGCCTCATTATATCGTGACCAATGATTGCATCTGCACATAGCTCCTGTAGAACGTTTAGTTTTGCATGGTAATAGTGGCTCTGAAATCTAAGATTAACCATACTAAACCATTTAATTTCTGATTTAGCCGATTTGGTTGCCAGACTTACTTTACTGGTGGCCTTAGTCATGGGTAATTTGTGATATTTTAAATAATCAGCATTGATAAAACTTTCAGTGCTGCCAGTGTCCATTCATTAATTTCGACCTTAACAATAGCTTTCGAAAGAGAAGATGGGGCGGCCGCTAAAATAGATGCGGAAGTTTTTCTTTGATATTGATTTTGTCTCTTAGCAGTTATGCAGACTTTAGAAAAGTGACCCTTTTTCTTACAGAAGTGGCAAGTAGCCTCCCGAGCTGGACAGATATTACGTGAATGCTTGTGATTACCACAAAAGATGCAAGTTGATGATACTGTAGCAGCTGTAGGTGAGTCAGTTGGAGTGCCGGAAGTGATTTCAACTTCTTCAGTTAGTTTACTCATAGAATTGACACTTGGGGGCTCTATACCGGAAATAAGATTGCGATTGTTTTTGAGCCATGTCGAGGCCCAGTTTGTACCCTCCCACCTGGCCTGATCGAGAGCAGTTTGTAGAGTAAGTTGAGAGTTTTCTAACAGTCTCAGGGGGATATGATTTGATTGCATACCCGAAATAAAGGCATCACGAATAGACTCATCTCGATGTTGCTCGGCCGTGACTGAGCAAAAGTTGCAGTCTTTACTGAGTACTTTTAAAGCTTGTAAAAATTGATCTAACGACTCACCGGGTAGTTGTCGTCTTGTGGCTAGCTGATGTCTTGCAAAGACTTCATTGCTTCTTTTGACATATAACGAATGTAAGGTAAATATCGTCTGATCATAACTTTTACATTCTTCGATAAGTTCGTATACATCAGGAGATATAAGATTTATAAGATAATCCAACTTTACTTCTTCATCTTCGACTTGCGACCTTTTGATAAATGATTTAAAGGTTCTAAACCAGTGATTCCAGAGTTTAGAGGCGTTAGAAGCGTCTGGTTCTACATTGAATCTTTCCGGTTTAAAAGTTTCCATTTGATGTTTCGTAGACATACTTATGCTAATTAAATTGTTATAATTGAAAACACCTTATGAGAAATTAAGGCTTTAATTAGCATAAGAAATACATGTAGTAAAGAAAACAACACACTGCCAAAATGATCAACAACATAAAGCAAATAGACCATTTTAGTTTATTTTTATATTTCCTTTTCCTTCGTTAACGTCCATAATAATTAACTTCCTTTCCAATATTGAATAAACCCCAAAAAACAAATCATACAAAAACATCAGAATACAACACACGAAACCATTATGTGACCACAAGAAGAGGACCACAGTTTATGTGAGTATGAAATACTTGGTTCAAAATTTATCTTTACATCTGTATTGTATTTTTTACAATCAATATATGTTTTGTCAATTGATACATTACCCCTCCTATTACGCCTCATGCTCACATTAAACATTTGCATTCTATATAGTAGCAATAAAGGAGATATAGAGAATATAAATGTGTTACTTAGTTTCTATATACATATTTTTTAAAAATAAAAAACAGCTTTAAATTATTTTTATATTTATTGGTTTCCAGGACTCTGGGGTTCTTCAATCTGTCTTTTCTTCATTTGTTATATTCAATCGGCTGGTAGCGGTTTAATATTTTACAACTTGATGTTCTTCACAACAGCATTTAATAATGTCGGGGCTTGGCTCACCCACTTCGATCTTGCACCGAACTTTAGTGGATTTCTCATCGGGTTTTCCAAAACGATCGGCAACATACCAGTATTATTGGGGCGTATGTTCATGACCAGTGTGCTGATGATTGACGTAAGCCATTGCGTTTATTTCCTTCAATTCTATAAGTACGACGACAAATCGATTTCAGATGCAGGAGAAAGACTGGTGCTTATATTATTTCTTTGCTGGTGTGTCCCTACTAGTTGGAAATTTCATGTATATAGTCCTAGCTAATGACGAGTTGCAGAAATTTAACAAGATAATAAGCCTTGATAATGGTGCGTATACTTACGACCAGTAATTAACATACACTCATTATCACAATTATTTTCTTTAGGGGACGATTCTACGACGAAGTTAACTTCTACAAACTAAAACAGTGAAATAAAGCAGATGTTATTTTATAAAACACATGATATAAATAAAAGGAATAAAAATGGATATTTTTAAATAATTTTAATATTTTTTTATTGATGTTATAATGGATTATTGCCTAAAATATTATTTACCTTTTTAAACCATCTGGAGGGGGGGTTGGTGGCCGCAAAGATTTAGGTGTGATACGGCACTCATCACTGTACGGTAATGGTCCCAGTTCGAATCCTGTGGCCCAGCATTTGAACCTGATGTAATTACAAATGTGCTTTTTTCAGAAACACCAGCACCCCTTGGGTTCAAATACCCTATTAAAAAAAATCCTGTAAGTGGTCCTATGGATTGAGTGCACAATTTTTGTTCTTCATTTATTCTTTCTGTCTGAAGAATACAACCAAAAATGGGTGAGGCCATAAAAGACAAGAAAATTTAAAATGACTTGCAATTGTGAGCAGTAGAGGTGCTCAGATTTTTTTTGGACAAAAATTTTAATTTTTTAAATTAAATTATTTTTTTGTGCATCATGTTTAATAAATGATTTGTAATTTTGAGCACCGGAAATGCTCGAATTAGAAAGTCTACACATTTGAGAAATCCCCTGCCATCTGACAAAAATGTCTCGCCAGCAGTACTGTGTGGCACCAACGAAATAATATGTTTCAATAAACATGCTCATTAAGTTGAAATTGAAATGTAAACCGCTGATGAAAGTTGGAAAACAAAATTTAAAAAAAAACCTTTGTCTCATTTTTCATATTGGAGTACTGTTTAAAAGTAGGAAAAACCAGAAATGAATAAATTAAATCGCTCATCAGAAAAGCAGCATTTTCAGACAATTTATTAACGCTGAAAAGCTGAAAAGCTTCTAACAATTATATATATGCATTAAAACTTATACCAAAATGTTCACAAGAAGGTAGTGAATCAAATGAGACCAATTGCATTTTGATCGGACCATTAGTTCACGATAAATTAAAGGGAGGAAGACGAATCTGAGGGTTGGTTAACCTCCCTTAATTCAATTTAAAAAAAAAATTACAAAAGAATTAAAATTATATCACTTTGTAACTAATTTATATTTATAGCTTCACCATATCCACGTCCCTGGGCTTTTTCAAAGGTAGGGCCAAAAGCTCGGCCATCGTAGCTCAAATTGAGTTTCCTTGGCGAGAAGTTCGTCTGTCAATTGGTGGACGTTGGAGAGCGAGTCTGAATGGCCGTTGGACGTTGGACCTGGCCGAAAAACCCTGCTTGCTAGTTGCTACTTGCTAGTTGAGCTGTACCTGTATCTGGCGACATGGCGCGCTCTACGCGACGGCACCGAACCGCAACGTGCGTCACCTCTGACTCTATCTTCCAAATTTCATGACTGTCATTTTATTTTAAATACTGTAATAATAATAATAATAATAATACTTTATTGCAAAAAAAGAAAAGATATAATCATTACATAATGTATAATTTAAAGTAAAATTACGGCATGGAGGGTCCGTCAGCCGGAGGTCGATTTTCATTTGACTTAAATGTTTGGTCGACACAGAGAAAAAAGTACTAAAGAAAAAAAAGGATCCTTAAATAAATATTACAATTGATAATTTAATTTTTAATAATTATATTAATTACTAACATACATTGTAAAAAATAATTTTTGTTCTTTGTTTAATTTACAATAAGTATAGATATATAAATTATTTGGGCCAGCAATTTAAAATGACAAGGCTTTAAAATATTCAAAAATTAAATTCTAATATTAACTCTTGGCGATAGTGCCAGGCGTGGCGCTCGTATTTGATTAAATTTGTATAATCATTAAGCAGTAAGTCAATAGCCTGTGTCACATTCAATTTAGCAAAATTTAGATGCCGAAGCCGTATCACCGATAGGATAGTGCATTTTGCAATAAAATGCACTATGTCTTCTTTAACCTGGTCGTTGCACAATGAACAAATTACATTTTCTCTAGCCCGAAAAGATGCACCATTTAGATAAAGGAGGTCCTCTCTGATTTTGAATAACCACCTTAACTCGACCAATGACAAACCATTAGACATGTCCTTAGATAGGTTAAACATATTAAAATCATCTTGGTAAAGTTCCTTATAGCATAAAAAGTGCGAGGTTGATCTGACTTGTTCACGAAGTACTTCACTGAAATTGACACTCTATTTTGTTATAATTTACTTAAACTGCAAAGGCCACCATTCAAGTTATTTATACAAAATGATGAGTCACATGATAGATCTCTACACATGCCATTCCAACGTTCAAACCACAATGCACCACGATTAACGACTTCCAGGGCTACTATTTTGGAAAGACGGTAATCAGGATGTTTCAAGAGTTTAAAGATGTAATTAAAATGAAGTCCCCATTTGATATTTTTCACCTTAGTAGGAACAGGTCTTCTGAAGTACATGTTTAATATGTTACATTAGCCAATAAATCTTCCATTACTTCATGAAGTGAATATTGTTCTTTTTCTCTTTAATATATATATTTTGTGTGTTTAGATATTAATGATATTACATTTGCATATGTTGTGTTAGGACATATTCACCGTGACGATTAGTTTTGTTCAATTTTCAGGGTTTTTCTGAATGTTTTATTTCAAACTAAAAGCTACAAGGTATAAAAAAAACTCTATATTAAAATTTGATAAGTATATAAAATTATGTTGTTGCGAGTTTGAAGAAAAATCTTTATTGTTTTCTGAAAATTATTCTCCAAATTTATTGTAATATAAATGTAATGTTTGTTTTGGGATATCTACATTCAACTATTCCTTTTATTACTTTTTCCCTTGTTGGATTTTAGCTTATCAGGTATTTAAACGAACTCTAGTAGCAGAGTAGGAAAAAAATTACTAAACTCCTAATTAAACAGGATGCACATTTCTGCCAAAGTTGGGTACGAATTGTTGGAAATTTTATTATACCTACCTTATTTTGATATATTCTATATGAACAAGCATTGTTATGTCCCTTATCAGTATTTAAGTCATACTTTTAACTGTTGTATGCATAAAACTACGTATGAGGTTTATTTATTTATTTTTTACGAGGGTTCGCAAGTTGTGTAAATAAAATAAATTTGTAAAAAAGGGGTAAAACTAATATGCAGGGTTTACTTAGTCATTGGAGAAAAAAAAGATTTTTCTAAGCAAAAATGTATTTTCATGTAAATGTGACAGTGACAATAAGCAGGCAGGCCAAGATCGATCGGTAACTATCCAATATTATAAAACTGGATAAATTGAATTTTGGTGAAATGAGGCAATTGGGGCATATTCAAAGCAAAATAAGGCATATTCCAATAAGTCTTTGGACCTGTCAGAGTATATGAGGATGCATTCCGAACCATAGTGAGTCTTAATACATTTAATTAAAACTGCAGTAGATTTATCTTGCAATTTTCTCAGGTGAAAGGATCTACCGTCTCCGGTCGAATTGATTAAGCCCAATTTTAAGGATTTCTCTTTAGATCCTTCAAAATATTTTGAAAATTTTACTCGTACCTATGGTGTAAACTTTAAAATCGCTATCCTGAAAAATTTATGTATTAATTAGTATTAATATTAATGTAACATATTAATTATTTGAGATATTCCTTTTTAAAAATATTTATTTAAAAAGTAGTAGCTCCGCCGATACACATTCGAGGAAGCTTACACAGAATCTAATCTAGTTACCCTTGGTCCATGATTAAATCACCTCGGGTTAAGGGGGAGAAAAATGCACTTGTGCATAATCGATATCTGATAAGCCGAGTGCATTTTTCTGTACAATTGAATTTGAAAAGTTTTATATCAGTACAAAAACTTGTCACATTTAAATATGAAGGAAACATATGGTTTACTTATAAATATTAGACTATACAATTTTTGTTGTTAACTTTTTAATAAGATCATGGGTAAGACTATAATGTACATTCTCTGTCAAATTTACTCAATTTAAAAATTTATTCGTTCTATTAGGTGGATTCAGAGACTTTTGGGGACTAGGAGTACGGCATATTCAGGTGTTACTTCTATTTTCATGTGCCCTCGTCAATCAAATATTACTATCTGGATTGGAAGCTGTAATTATCATGGTAGAGTCGGAAACAGCGCCAAACAGCAACTACACACTTTATGAGGATGCATTCCGAACCATAGTGAGTCTTAATACATTTAATTAAAACTGCAGTAGATTTATCTTGCAATTTTCTCAGGTGAAAGGATCTACCGTCTCCGGTCGAANTGATTGTGACGGTGGGGGACGAGGTAAATCTGGGAAAATTTCTTTCATCATACGCGGTTTTTCTGGATTGGATTTATGATTCGGCATTCAATATTAGAAAGGAAGTTAATTATTAAGGATGATAAACGAAGGAAAGAGAAAACTAAAATTAAGAAAAATGACAAAAAGGAGGGAAAATTCGAAAGGTTGAGTTGAGATGGGAAGTTAGTGTCCTAGTGGATCGAAGTCACGATAGCTCAAGTGGTAGAGGAGCGGCGTATCTAGCCGAAGGTCGTGTGTTCAAATCCCGCACGTGACACCGACTTTTTTTTCTCAACTTAAAACCAAACCAATTTACAATTCCATTTTCCATTCCATTTGTCTACACGTTGACACACAAGTACATTTCTCTCCTCAGATCACATTAAAATAGTCATCAAACATACAAAACAGTATATACACGTTTTATCCACAGTCAAAGACTCAACACCAACAGCCCACAAATCCGATGTAATTCATAAAAGTAATTGTGTGAACTGTGCAGCTACATACATTAGAATTACGTCTCAATATCTGGGAAAAATCCGGAAAAACCAACATATCTATGACTGTAAACCACCATAATCTAATCCCACTCCATCGACCACACACCATTTTGAATAACAAAAAAATGATTTTGACAAAATACAAATACTAGGCATCGAAGAAATTCAAACGCGACTTTCTAGAAATGGTTTCCATCAACAAAAAATCACAAATACCATTAATTACAGAACAGATACATGCAAACTCAGCCGTAACTACGCCAACAACATAAAGCAAATAGACCATTTTAGTTTATTTTTATATTTCCTTTTCCTTCGTTAACGTCCATAATAATTAACTTCCTTTCCAATATTGAATAAACCCCAAAAAACAAATCATACAAAAACATCAGAATACAACACACGAAACCATTATGTGACCACAAGAAGAGGACCACAGTTTATGTGAGTATGAAATACTTGGTTCAAAATTTATCTTTACATCTGTATTGTATTTTTTACAATCAATATATGTTTTGTCAATTGATACATTACCCCTCCTATTACGCCTCATGCTCACATTAAACATTTGCATTCTATATAGTAGCAATAAAGGAGATATAGAGAATATAAATGTGTTACTTAGTTTCTATATACATATTTTTTAAAAATAAAAAACAGCTTTAAATTATTTTTATATTTATTGGTTTCCAGGACTCTGGGGTTCTTCAATCTGTCTTTTCTTCATTTGTTATATTCAATCGGCTGGTAGCGGTTTAATATTTTACAACTTGATGCTCTTCACAACAGCATTTAATAATGTCGGGGCTTGGCTCACCCACTTCGATCTTGCACCGAACTTTAGCGGATTTCTCATCGGGTTTACCAAAACGATGGGCAACATACCATTATTATTGGGGCGTATGTTCATGACCAGTGTGCTGATGATTGACGTAAGCCATTGCGTTTATTTCCTTCAATTCTATAAGTACGACGACAAATCGATTTCAGATGCAGGAGAAAGACTGGTGCTTATATTATTTCTTTGCTGGTGTGTCCCTACTAGTTGGAAATTTCATGTATATAGTCCTAGCTAATGACGAGTTGCAGAAATTTAACAAGATAATAAGCCTTGATAGTGGTGCGTATACTTACGACCAGTAATTAACATACACTCATTATCACAATTATTTTCTTTAGGGGACGATTCTACGACGAAGTTAACTTCTACAAACTAAAACCGTGAAATAAAGCAGATGTTATTTTATAAAAAACATGATATAAATAAAAGGAAAAAATGGATATTTTTAAATAATTTTACTGTATTTTTATTGATGTTATAATGGATTAGTGCCTAAAATATTATTTACCTTTTTAAACCATCTGGAGGGGGGGTTGGTGGCCGCAAAGATTTAGGTGTGATACGGCACTCATCACTGTACGGTAATGGTCCCAGTTCGAATCCTGTGGCCCAGCATTTGAACCTGATGTAATTACAAATGTACTTTTTTCAGAAACACCAGCACCCCTTGGGTTAAAATACCTTCGTAAAAAAAATCCTGTAAGTGGTCCCTTGGATTGAGAGCACAATTTTTGTGAAGCCATTAAAATGCATTTTTCCACATAATTTTCTTTATTTTTAAAAAAATATCTGCTTTTTTATTTTTTGTTTGATGTTAAGTAAAGAATACACGATTTTGATCAAAAATTTTTATTTTTTTTCTTTATTTATTCTTTCTGTCTGAATAATACAAACAAAAATGGGTGAGGCCATAAAAGACAAGAAAATTTAAAAAGACTTGCAATTTTGAGCAATGGAGGTGCTTAAATTTTTTTTTGGACAAAAATTTTAATTTTTTTAATTAAATTATTTTTTTGTGCATCATGTTTAATAAATGGCTTGTAATTTTGAGCACCGGAAATGCTAGAATTAGAAAGTCTACACATTTGAGAAATCCCCTGCCATCTGACAAAAATGTCTCGCCAGCAGTACTGTGTGGCACCAACGAAATAATATGTTACAATAAACATGCTCATTGAGTTGAATTTGAAATGTAAACCTCTGATGAAAGTTGGAAAACAAAATTAAAAAAAAAAAAAAAAAAACCTTCGACACATTTTTCATATTGGAGTACTGTTTAAAAGTAGGAAAAACCAGAAACGAATAAATTAAATCGCTCATCAGAAAAGCAGCATTTTCAGACAATTTATTATCGCTGAAAAGCTTCTAACAATTATATGCATTAAAACTTATACCAAAATGTTCACAAGAAGGTAGTGAATAAAATGAGACCATTTTTTTTGGGGGGGGGAGGTTTGGGGAGTCCCCATTACCCATGACCCAAGTATGGGTGGAATGGTGATACCAGCAGCGAAAAACCGGAACCTGGGAAATGAAGACGAGTGCACCACCCCGGCACCACGAACGGCCGTGACGGGAGGGGAGAGATGCTTTTTTTTCTCTGTTTCCTCACGAGAGGACGTGGATAAATACCATGTACATAAAAAAGCCTAATATGGAAAAGTCCAATTCCTCGAGGGACAGGGACTAACACGCCCTGCATCCCTCCCGTCCGCCGCCAAAAGCAGGCATCACGGGGAACCTACACTTATACAAGTTATTCAGATATAGTGAGATGCGGTCGGGTGTGATGTAGGTTTCAGAAAAACATTTTCTTTATCGTGCCAACGTTTCGATCTTTATTGAGATCATCTTCAAGGCCTCGAATTTACAAACGATGTTTACATTTAACAATTACATTTAGGATGTGGAAAAGTGAATTTATAAAATGCAAAATATATTTTATATTCCACCAAAGTATTTCTACTCACTCAAAGTGTTTGTCTTCTGTGTAATTGTGCCATCCTTGCGTGTCGTGTTGAGAGTGCCAGTGAGATTTTGCTGTTTTATGTTTATATATGTTTGGTGTTGAAGGGGTGGGGAAGGAAGTCGGTATATAAAAGGAAACATATGGTTTACTTACAAATATTAGACTATACAATTTGTATGAAATATAAAAGCATTCAACTAAGGTTGTAGGATAAGGTTTTTCACAGATTGCACAGAACTATTGAAGAAGTCAATGCTATTGCAGATGTTGTTACTCTTGATCATTATTCTGTGTAGAGGAGAAGAGAGCATGTAGTTAGAGCTTTGGAATTCAATATAAAATAATTTATAGGTTTTAAGAGAGTACGGAGGGACATGTAGCTGTAGTTGAGAGAGGAGATAAGGACTATCAATGAGATTGTTTAATAATTTAAATACAAAAACAATATCAAAGTAATCCCTTCTTAGTGCCAGTTCGAAAAGTTTAAATTCAGAGCGGATTCCAGGGTTGGCAGAATTCGGAGGAAGATTGAGTTTGTAGGAATTTTTTAAAAATTTGTTTTGTACAGATTGAAGAATTTTTTGATAATTTAGATAGAATGGGTTTCAAACAGGTGTAGCATATTCTAGTATGGGTTGTACAAAAGCTTTATAAAGATGAACAAAACATAGAGGATTTTTAAATTCATAGGTGTTCCGTATGATGAAACCTAGCATCTTCATAGATCTATTTTTTATTGAAGAAATATGTTGTTTTAAACTTGAGCTTTTGATCAAAAAGTACACCAAAATCCTTTACGACCTCAACTCGCGTTAAAAGAGCATCATGGAGAGTAGAGATAAATAAAAGGTTGTTTCTTATGAGAGAATGTAATTGTGTAGCATTTGGAAACATTAAGAGCAAGTTTGTTATTAGAGCACCAGGTTAGAACATTATTGATAGAATTTTGTAATTGTAAGCAATCGGAAGGAGAAGTGATTATGGAATAGATTTTCAGATCATCAGCAAATAATAAAAATTGAGCAGAAGGAAGAGCAAGATGGATATCATTAGTAAATAAGAGAAACAAAACTGGTCCAAGATGAGACCCTTGCTGGACTCCCGAGGAAGCCGCAAAGGGACATGATTCAAATGATTTTATTTTGACTATTTGTTTTCTGTCGGAGAGAAAACTGGATAACCAATTCAAGATAGTTCCGGTGGAACCATAATCCATTAGTTTCCTTAACAGTACTGTGTGATTTACTTTATCGAAAGCTTTAGAAAAATCAGTATACACTGAGTCTACTTGGTGTCCAGAGTTTATTGCATCTAAGATGTAATTTTGAAATGTGGGCAGGTTAGTAACAGTTGATCTATTAGAGCAGAAACCATGTTGCTGACGTTTAATAAAAGATTTAATATCTTGGAGAACATGGATTGAATAGATATTGCTCTGTAATTGAAAACATTAGATCTATCGCCAGCTTTATGTAGAGGAATGACAAAAGTGCTTTTCCAAGCATTGGGGAAAATATCTGTTTTTAACGACTGGTTCAGAATATAGTGTAAAGGAGCGATAAGAGCCACAGAACACTTTTTAACTAATATAGGGGGTATGCAATCGGGACCAGAAGACTTTTTCACATTGAGTAATGAGATAGAATTTAGTATTTCATTGTGTGAGATATAGTAATTAGAGATTAGAGAAGATGGCATAAGGAGAGAGGTTGTTTCAGGTAGGGAAGTGGGAAGATAAGAACTACGGTCATAGACTTGGGAGAAATATTTAGCAAAGAGATTAGCAATGTCATGGCCATTAGATGAAGATTCATTGCCTAAACGCATGAAAGGGGGAGGGCATGGCCTTAGAAGTGTTGACAGAATTCACATAATTCCAAAACTTTTTAGTATAGATTGGATTGAGTTTTCTGTATCAAAAAGATAATTCTTATAGCAAATTTTCGACAGTGTTTTACATTGGACTCCAAGAGATGAAAATTTTGAATAATAATAATTATCAAGAGTTTGCTTGTACAATGAATGATACATCTTTTTTTGCTTGACTTTTTCAATAAGTTCTAGACAAAACCATTTCTATAATTATGGGTAATTATTGCCAGTTTTAGTTTTAAGAACATACATTTCTATAGCTATTGAAAGAACTTGATAAAAATAATTTAAACACTCGTTTACATCTGTAATACTATTATTTTTTTTACGAGGGTTCGCAACGGGAGAGGTTATATCAACCCTCGAGGTGCCAGTGATTTTGAAAAAAAGCCCATTTGTAAGTATGTCGGGTTCAAATGATGGGCCGCAGGATTCGAGCCCGGTACCTTTACAGTGTTGAGCGCCATGTCAACCAGCGGCCACCAACGCCCCTCACCTATGAGATATTAGTACGTTTTATAGGTTAACAGATCAAATTAAAGGTTGTGTAAATAAAATAAATTTGTAAAAAAGGGGTAAAACTAATATGCAGGGTTAACTTAGTCATTGGAAAAAAAAGATTTTACTAAGCAAAAATGTATTTTTATGTAAATGTGACAGTGTTAATAAACAGGCAGGCCAAGATCGATCGATAACTATTCAATATTATAAAACTGGATAAATCGAATTTTGGTGAAATGAGGCAATTAGGGCATATTCAAAGCAAAATAAGGCATATTCCAATAAGTCTTTGGACCTGACAGAGTATGTACAATTGATTAAGTCAAATTTTAAGGATTTCTTTTTAGATCCTTCAAAACATTCTGAAAATTTTACTCGTACCTATGGTGTAAACTTTAAAATCGCAATCCTGAAAAATTTATTTATTAATTATTATTAATATTAATGTAACATATTAATTATTTGAGATCTTCCTTTTTAAAAACATTTATTTAAAAAGTAGTAGCTCCGCCGATACACATTCGAGGAAGCGTACACAGAATCTAATCTAGTTACCCTTGGTCCATGATTAAATTACCTCGGGTTAAGGGGGAGAAAAATGCAATTGTGCTTAATCGATAAGCCGATTGCATTTTTCTGTACAATTGAATTGGAAAAGTTTTATATCAGTACAAAAACTTGTCACATTTAAATATGAAGGAAACATATGGTTTACTTACAAATATTAGACTATACAATTTTTGTTGTTAACTTTTTAATAAGATCATGGGTAAGGCTATAATGTACATTCTCTGTCAAATTTACTCAATTTACAAATTTATTCGTTCTATTAGGTGGATTCAGAGACTTTTGGGGACTAGGAGTACGGCATATTCAGGTGTTACTTCTATTTTCATGTGCCCTCGTCAATCAAGTATTACTATCTGGTTTGGAAGCTGTAATTATCATGGTAGAGTCGGAAACAGCGCCAAACAGCAACTACACACTTTATGAGGATGCGTTCCGAACCATAGTGAGTCTTAATACATTTAATTAAAACTGCAACCTCCCGGGCATGAGGGTAAACTGCGTCCACACATATTACCCACTCCCCTTACCTACACTTACACTGTCTTAAGCACACTAACAGTACACACCCTAGGGATGCCGACCCTTGGAAGGCTCTTGAGACGAACTAAAAATCTCACGTCCTGGGATTGGCGACCCAGTACGTACATAACTCCGCCACACCTAACATTAGGTGGTGTGAGGGCGGGGGATTTGGACGGTGTCTGGGCCTCCGTCAACATGCCACCTCAAATACACAGGTCGATCACGCGTCCAAGTACCTCGGAACCCGAATATAACAAACGCACATTACCGTGCACAAAACACAACAAATACAACATACAATTCTCATCTGGAGGGGGGATCTCCTGGTCTCTTTGGGTGTCCGTGATACCTGCTCCTGTGAGGGTACCGGAGGAAAACTGGGTTACGGCACTCCCGGGCCGCAAGGTAGTACAGGGACCCGAACCCCGGACTAGCCACCGGGGAGGCTGTCCTATCACCTCGTGTATAATGTTGTGGTGCCTAGTACCGCCAGCTGGCGACTGGATGGTTACCGTGCTGCGCACCGCGGCCGGCCCTCCTGAGGCCACGCAGGGTGCGGGCAGATCGGAGAAGCACCCGAATGGGCCGGGGTATCACCTTCAAAGGTTGAGGATTGCACTCACATGGTACACATACAATCTTACAGACAAAACACAAAACCAATGAAGATGAAAATGGTGATAAAAAGGGAACAAGGAGTAAAAGTGCCTACTCCGCCAAATGCGGGCTCGACCAGCCCAACAACACTCCCTCCTCTCCCCAGGCCTTTCCCAATCCCCCTGAAGGATTTGCCTCATGGGAATCCGGAAGACCCCTCAGCCACCCAGACCCATATCTCTCCATCCCTTGCACTCCCTTCAACCCCCTCACCACAACCATCCACTCCTCCTGCCAGGATGGAGGATGAAAATTTCGTTGCCGTAGCTGGGAAAAGGAAAAGAGTCCCCTAACAACTCACCAAAAGGGATGACAGAAAAGAAAGCAGAGAAACATGTGCCTGTGACTCCTGAGTCACCGGAACAAAAAAGAGAAAATAAGGTAACATGGACACAAAGGAAAAGAAAAAGAAATCGCGGAGTGGTGCGCAGGAAGTTTGCGAGTGTGGGAGGGAAGCTCATCCGAAAGAATCTGGGTGCGCCGACCCTTCCACTTGCGTGAACTTCGGGGGATGCCATACGGCACGATCCGCCAGCTGCCCTGTTCTCTCCAAAGAACGAGAAATTCAAAACCTCAAAGTATAAGACAAAATGAGCTTTCGAGAGGCCAGGGCAATGGTCGAAAGTAGAGGCACTGCTGGGACATACGCCCAAGTTGCAGCTCGTCCCGCTCCTGGGCTGAGGGTCCCGGGCAAACCCTGGCGGCTGCTCCTCCAAAAGGAGAAGCCGCCAAAGCCCCCCCCCCCCAATGATGGCGGGGGCAATAGAAAAGGTGGCTGATGCCACCCTCCCCCAGAAGTGGATGGTAACATCCTCTTCCCAAACGTCCCCGGCACGGAAAGTCGCGGCTAGCCGTGAGAAGCAGTCCGACAAACCGGGGACGAACATGGCCCCACCAAAGCTGCCGCCACCTTGGGCCAAAGCCCGCGCAGGTGCCCCTTAGGCAGAGAAAGGTTGCTCGATGTGTCCCACATATTAGAGGCGTGTCATGCCTTTGCGCCATACAGAGAGCGAGAAGGCATGCCGCCGGACTTAAGAAAAGTTCTCGAGCACTGCAGGGAGTTTCAGGGTCCCCTGTTCCGCTTTTTAGGGGAAGTTGGGTTTTTTTTATTGTATGTAGTATGTCTTATGTGTTGTGTGTCTATATGTTTTGTCTGAGTGCATGTATTTATTAGCGTGAATGGCGAGGGGTGAGGGTGAAATATAACGTCATCATCACCCTTCGAATGATGAGAGCGTAAGAGTGTGTGTTCGGGGTCGATGGCGGAATATTTATAAAAGTACTCCATCGACCCCCAATCTAGATTAGTTTGAGTATAGGGTCGGTGGGGAATATCAAGTACTCCACCGACCAAAGAGAATGAGTGTGCTGTATGGATGTCTTTATGTGTATGAATGTATTTATTTGTATGAATGTATTGTTTGAAAGGGTAAATAGAATATAGACATAGTTGGGGGCTGAAATGACCTAGATGTCGGAAGCCCCAGTCAAAAAAAAATTAAAACTGCAGTAGATTTATCTTGCAATTTTCTCAGGTGAAAGGATCTACCGTCTACAGTCGAAACTATTTGGCTGATGCTATTAATTACACTACAATCATAGGATATTTTATTGGTGGTATTCTCTCGGTTAAGGCGAACCCAAAATTCACTTTACTCTTCGCAACTGTGGCTTTGTCATTCATACCGTANATGCATTCCGAACCATAGTGAGTCTTAATACATTTAATTAAAACTGCAGTAGATTTATCTTGCAATTTTCTCAGGTGAAAGGATCTACCGTCTCCGGTCGAAACAATTTGGCTGATGCTATTAATTACACTAAAATCATAGGATATTTTATTGGTGGTATTCTCTCGGTTAAGGCGAACCCAAAATTCACTTTACTCTTCGCAACTGTGGCTTTGTCATTCATACCGTACATTATTCCTACAATGACAAACAACTATGGATTTAATGTATTGTATTTCGTTCGATTTTATCAGGGTATATTTTATGTAAGTATTAATTTTGCATTTTACAAGTATTTCTGTGTAACAACAATTCTGTAGGGAATAATATGGCCAACGATAGGAATAATTTTATCCAAATGGGTGCCATATACTGAATTAGCCAGGAGTATGTCTCTCATAATTTCAGGTATTGAAACTTTCAAACTTTTTATATACAGTGGTTAATATAATATTTACATTGTTTTAGCACCTGTACTTGGTAAGAGTATTGTCATACTGTTAGGGAAATTCTTGCAAACGAGTGTTGGTGGTTGGAGTAGTCTGTTTTACATATCAGGAAATGTAGGAATTCTATGGGTTGTTGCTTGGGCATTTTTTGGCTTCCCGGACCATTTCAAATGCTTTTACATAACACCAGCTGAAAAATTTTATATTGATAAACTGACTTATGATATACATCCTACATACAAAGTAAAAAATTATGTTATACAAATTTAAAAAAAAAACAAAACTAAGACCTTATGAACTACAGGGTATCAAAATACCTTGGAGAGAAGTAATTAGATGCAAGCCTTTTTACGGCTGCATGTTGGAAGCACTATTCTCTAACTGGGCTTACGACTTTGCAAGAAGTGCACGGTTTTTTCAAACATACTTGGTAAACTATCTAGAACTATCAGATGAACGGGTATGTTATGATTAAATTTCTTCGTATAATTCTTAATAACAATATCATTATATTTTAGGCACTGTACTATATCAGTCTTTTACCTATCTTTTTCATTGTTGAACAAATGATTGTTGGGACAATGGTAGACATAATGCACAGTAAAGAACGTTACCCGTTAATTCACTTACGAAAAACCTGCAACAGTATAGGTAATGTCTGTTTCTTAGTGACCTGTTGTTTCATAATTTGTTGAAGTCGTGACGAGCGGTCAAGAATGATGTAGTTTAGAAAAACACCTTTTTCATTTTTTTGCTAACGTTTCGACCTTTATTCCCCTTATCTTCAGGGCCAGGGTAAATTACAAAACATATATTGAAAATGTAAAGTTTGAACCAAATATTTCAAACTCATATAAACTGTGGTGCTATTCTTGTGGTGTCATATTGATTGGTTTTATGTGAAAGTGTTGTGAAACGTGAACTTGTATTCTGTTGATTTTATATGATTGTGACGGTGGGGGACGAGGTAAATCTGGGAAAATTTCTTTCATCATACGCGGTTTTTCTGGATTGGATTTATGATTCGGCATTCAATATTAGAAAGGAAGTTAATTATTAAGGATGATAAACGAAGGAAAGAGAAAACTAAAATTAAGAAAAATGACAAAAAGGAGGGAAAATTCGAAAGGTTGAGTTGAGATGGGAAGTTAGTGTCCTAGTGGATCGAAGTCACGATAGCTCAAGTGGTAGAGGAGCGGCGTATCTAACCGAAGGTCGTGGGTTCAAATCCCGCTCGTAACACCGACTTTTTTTCTCAACTTAAAACCTTAATTAACTGAATTGTATTAATTGGTCAAGCGGACCACGAAAAATAGTGAATTGGACTAAAATTAAGGTTTAAAAGTTTATTTGGTTAATGATGCTGGCGTAGCTACGGCTGAGTTAGCTTGCATCTGTTCTGTAATTAATGCTGTATGAGTTTTTGCTGACGTAAACATTTCTAAAAAGTTACGTTTTTTGCAATCATAAACAATTATAACCCGACCACAAAACAACATTCTCCACACTGTACTACACAACGTCGACCCAATCACTCGTAAACAAAACAATTTACAATTCCATTTTCCATTCCATTTGTCCACACGTTGACACACACAAGTGCATTTCTCTCCTCAGACCACATTAAAATAGTCATCAAACATACAAAACAGTATATACACGTTTTATCCAAAGTCAAAGACTCAACACCAACAGCCCACAAATCCGATGTAATTCATAAAAGTAATTGTGTGAACTGTGCAGCTACATACATTAGAATTACAACTCAATATCTGGGAAAAAACCGGAAAAACCAACATATCTATGACTGTAAACCACCATAATCTAATCCCACTCCATCGACCACACACCATTTTGAATAACAAAAAAATGATTTTGACAAAATACAAATACTAGGCATCGAAGAAATTCAAACGCGACTTTCTGGAAATGGTTTCCATCAACAAAAAATCACAAATACCATTAATTACAGAACAGATACATGCAAACTCAGCCGTAACTACGCCAACAACATAAAGCAAATAGACCATTTTAGTTTATTTTTATATTTCCTTTTCCTTCGTTAACGTCCATAATAATTAACTTCCTTTCCAATATTGAATAAACCCCAAACAACACACGAAACCATAATGTCACCACAAGAAGAGGACCACAATTTATGTCAGTATGAAATACTTGGTTCAAAATTTATCTTTACATCTGTATTGTATTTTTTACAATCAATATATGTTTTGTCAATTGATACATTACCCCTCCTATTACGCCTCATGCTCACATTAAACATTTGCATTCTATATAGTAGCAATAAAGGAGATATAGAGAATATAAATGTGTTACTTAGTTTCTATATACATATTTTAAAAAAATAAAAAACAGCTTTAAATTATTATATTTACTGGTTTCCAGGGCTCTGGGGTTCTTCAATATGTCTTTTCTTCATTTGTTATATTCAATCGGCTGGTAGCGGTGTAATATTTTACAACTTGATGCTCTTCACAACAGCATTTAATAATGTCGGGGCTTGGCTCACCCACTTCGATCTTGCACCGAACTTTAGCGGATTTCTCATCGGGTTTACCAAAACGATGGGCAACATACCATTATTATTTTGGCGTATGTTCATGACCAGTGTGCTGATGATTGACGTAAGCCATTGCGTTTATTTCCTTCAATTCAAGTTCGACGACAAATCGATTTCAGATGCAGGAGAAAGACTGGTGCTTGACTTACTTCTCCGCTGGAGTATCCCTACTAATTGGAAATTTCATGTATATAGTCCTAGCTAATGACGAGTTGCAGAAATTTAACAAGATAATAAGCCTTGACAATAGTGCGTATACTTACGACCAGTAATTAACATACACTCATTATCACAATTATTTTCTTTAGGGGACGATTCTACGATGACGTTAACACTGAAATAAAGCAGATGTTATTTAAAATACATGATATAAATAAAAGTAAAATAAGGATATTTTTAAATAATTTTACTATTTTTTAATGTTATAATGGATTGTTGCCTAAAATATTATTTACCTTTTGAAACCATCCGGAGGGGGGGGGGGTTTCGTTGCCCCCAAGGATTTAGGTGTGATACGGCACTGTACGGTCAAGGTCCCAGCATTTGAACCTGATGTAATTACAAATGTGCTTTTTTCAGAAACACCAGCACCCCTTGGGTTCAAATACTTTCGTAAAAAAAACGTCCTGGAAGTGGTCACTTGGATTGAGTGCACAATTTTTGTGAGGTCAATAAAATGCATTTTTTCCACATCATTTTGTCTTTATTTAAAAAAAAATCTGCTTTTTTATTTTTTGTTTGGTGTAAAGTAAAATAATATAATAATAAGTACACGATTTTGACCAAAAATTTTTATTTTTGTTCTTCATTTATTCTTTCTGTCTGAAGAATACAAACAAAAACGAGTGAGGCCATAAAAGACAAGAAAATTTAAAAAGACTTGCAATTTTGAGCAATGGTGCTCAAATTTTTTTTGGACAAAAATTTTAATTTTTTAAATTAAATTATTTTTTTGTGCATTATGTTTAATAAATGGTGCTGTGGTCAATCGTATTATTTAATTTTTCGTCTATTTTTAAACGGTTATTTTTCATTTAACAATTTTCTAAAAACTAGAGTGGATTTATAATCTATGTGTAATGATATTAAGGTAGTTTTAAGTAGTTTATAAGCAATTTTCTGCCCAATTTTTGGCGTCTACTCTCCATCGCTTCTTCGAGGCTGGGAGCCGCATTGTACATCTGTGCCAACTCACTTTACGAGTTACTTCGCGTACCCATTTATTATCTGCGGAACTGAGAGTCAAGAATCTACAAACTTCGTGGATCATCTCTTCATTCCAGCACCCAGCCCCATCTTTTCCATTTCCATCCAGCCTGCAGCATCTTGGACACTAACACTCGGTCAGATTATTCCTTTTTATTGTATATCTATTAGTTATATTAATATTCTCTTTTAGTTTTACATTATTAATTTTATTACCATAATTGACCTGTTTTATTGCATGCAATACTAATTGTTCTCATGTGAATTTATCGTATCTGTTCGTATATAATATATTCGTATAAATATATTTTTAATTCAATTTGTATTAACATTATAACTCATTTTATAAACTCAATCCTGCTCTTGTTATTAGCAAATTCTTGAATCAATATTATATTAATATAATTAGCAAATTATATTAATACGTTTCAGGAATAGGTTTGTTTTAAGATATCATACCCCTACCATCAGTGTGAGGGGATCATTCGTGGAAAACCGGTAAAAATACATTAGAGTTGGGGATATCCTAAATCTTGTGGAGGCGTGATTCAAACAAATGGTTTTTAATTTTGAGCACCGGAAATGATCGAATTAGAAAGTCTACACATTTGAGAAATCCCCTGCCATCTGGCAAAAATCTCTCGCCAGCAGTACTGTGTGGCACCAACGAAATAATATGTTACAAAAAACATGCTCATTAAGTTGAAATTGAAATGTAAACCTCTGATGAAAGTTGGAAAACAAAATTTAAAGAAAAACCTTCGACACATTTTTCATATTGGAGTACTGTTTAAAAGTAGGAAAAAACACAAATGAATGAATTAAATAGCTCATCAGAAAAGCACCATTTTCAGACAATTTATTAACGCTGAAAAGCTGAAAAGCTTCTAACAATTATATGCATTAAAACTTACACCAAAATGTTCACAAGAAGGTAGTGAATAAGATGAGACCAATTGCATTTTGATCGGATCATTAGTCCAAGAGAAATTAAAGGAAGGATAATCAGAGGCAGGAAGAAGAATCTGAGGGTAGGTTGACCTCCCTTAATTAAAAAAAAAAACTTGCAAAAGAATTAAAATTATACCACTTTGTAACTAATTTATATTTATTGTGACATTTTATGTTTCACTATTGAGGTGGCTGAAAACGGTTAGAAACCAAAACGCATTTGCATAGCTAAAAATCAAGTGTAGGCAGAATAAAATATTCGGAAACGATCAAACTGCAGATTGATCACCACGGAGACCCCAAGAGGACCACAATCTCTATAAAAACCCTATTTAATCTTTAATAAAATTAAGCAATAAACTGTAAGAACTAAAAGCCAAAACACCTGAAAGTTTGTGATCGTCCGTAGTCACTGGTCCGTCCGGTGTCGCCGTTATGACTAGCAGAAGCGTTATGTTTCATCTTCAATGGATGTTCAAATCATAAAAGACACAGCGGGAGTAGGCAGAACGAACGTGTAGGTAAGTGGAGGAAAAAATGTTAACCTGGATTTGATCGATTGCATCTCTGTACCAGCCCGAAATGAAAAATCCTACAACCTGATCTTTTGTACGATAGTTTAATGTTTAATTTAAGTTTTGTGTGTTTATTTGGACGTTTTCGAGCTTAAAACTGTTCATTTGTTCCTGCTTTTTGAAAGATGATATCATTCCTATTCAAATTTTCGCCGATGTACAGGCGTGTCACACGCCAAAGATATCGTCTTTTTTAAGATGATAATTCTTTTAACAATCCAAGAAACAAAAAAAAATAAAACACAAATAAAAGGAGAATCAGGAATTCTTACAATCTCAATTAAGCTTTGTCACGCTAGAAAATCTTTTAGATCGATTTTAGCGACATATGGATTTTTATTTTTTATTAATTTTATGCGGATTTAATTGGAATACTCCAAGANTGTTTTTCTGAAACCTACATCACACCCGACCGCATCTCACGATATCTGAATAACTATCGATTAACGGTCACTAATCTCTACACACTTATACAAGTGTCACTCATTATATAAATCCTGCCAGTCGCTAAGCCATTCCCTATTTAGTGCTCTTTTGCTATCAGACGCTGTCATTTTGTATTTGCAGAACACCCCGCATACTGTAGCCTCCTTAGCATAAGTGTCTACTATTTCATTGTCTCGTATACCAGAATGCCCTTTAATCCAGCAAACGTTCACCGATTTTCCACTATTAACTAAAGCGTTGTATTTCAATCGTGATGTGGTCGTATTTCATGTAAACGTTTACGCTTTCTAACTGGGACACTGCACTTCTGCAATAAGTCAGGATTGCAACTTTCGATATATTGTGAAGCTGGCACTGTACTCCAAGGCCTTAAGTATGGCCATGGCCTCCGCAGAGTATATTGAGGCAAAATTCGGGAGAGAATGCACTGTTTAAAAGGAGGAAAAAACACAAATGAATAAATCAAATCGCTCTTCAGAAAAGCAGCATTTTGAGACAACTTATTAACGCTGAAAAGCTTCTAACAATTATATGCATTAAAACTTACACCAAAATGTTCACAAGAAGGTAGTGAATAAAATGAGACCAATTGCATTTTGATCAGACCATTATTTTACGAGTAATTAATGGAAGGATAATCAAAGAGAGGAAGAAGAATCTGATGGTCGGTTGACCTCCCTTAATTAAATTTAAAAAAAAAATTACAAAAGAATTAAAATTATACCACTTTGTAACTAATTTATATTTATGGTATATAATATAACATTTTATTAGGCACTCTTTTTCTTTTTGCTTGTACAACAACTTTAAAAAACCATGATCATCTTACAGTCCAATTATAAAACTTACTATTAAATGTAAATTGATGAAAAATTACAACACTATACATTTTTAATTCTAAAAAATTATAATACTTAAGTAATAACATAATTATAACTGATAATAGATGATAAAGAAAAGTTACGATATGGTGATAGAACTATTAGCAAAATTAATATATAGCAAAAAATATACAGATGTTTTATGATGGCTGGTTATATTTGTTTACTTTATCATTTCATGGCATATATACAAAAGACTTTCTTAAAATATATTTAGCTTTTTAGAGATGCGATGAAACTGTTTCACCATTGAGGTGGCTGATTTGAAGGCTGTTGTTGGTATCCACCTGCTCCTGGGTAAGTACCGAAATGTTGGTATGGTACCTGTCCTTGATTGTATCCGGGTGCACCTGTAAATGATTTGAATTAAATATAAATAACACAAAATGACATCAGGAGCCATAATTTTGTAATAAAAAAATTGTTATCAGTTATATTGAGATAATCATTACAACCCGCATTTACCAGTTTGTGGTTGCGAATACTGCTGAAAATAATTTGGAGTATAGCTTGCGATTGTAGCATAAGGGTTGTAACCGACTGGCATAGGAGCCATAAACTGTGGCGGGTATGGTGCCACAGGCGCAAGTGCATAAGGCATTGGCATTTGTCCTGGCTGTACAGGATATGGTAACTGCTGTCCTTGTGATGGATTAGCAGATGTTTGAGGTGGCGGAGGCCTCGCGGGTGGTTCTTTCTTCGTTTCTGAAAACAACAGTCCTTCTCAAGTGATGTAAAGTGAAAAAAAAAACACTTTCACAGTATATTCATAATAGAATACATAAAAAAATATATGGATCAAGTAACACTAAATAATAAAAAGAGCGAAAATACATTTGATTTTATAGCATAGTTTCAGTGTACCTGCTGATTGACGAAAACTGCCAGTTGAGTCTGGGTGTAGCTGCGAAAGTGACTTAGTTATATCTTTCAGTAATTCTTCTTTTTCAGTATTTCTTGCAAAACAGTAGTCCATTGTTTTGTTTTGTAAAGTGACCAAATGTTCGGTCATGTCGTTATAAAATTTCATCCCTTCTGCAAGGAGTTTTTCGAGTTCATCAAACGTATCATGGGCGTTGGCCAATTCCTTGAGCATTTCCTCCCTTTCTGTCTTAATTGTGCCATCTCTTCCCCTTTCCGCTGTAAATTCTGTGTTTGTTTCCTAATAATAATTAACAATAAACATTTATTGTTATACATATTGGCTTTTAAAAGATAAATTGTGATAAAACATACTTGTATTTGTTGCAAAAGTGTCTGTTGTTTGTTGATGCTGTCTTTGACATTCTGCTGCAGAGGGCCGTATGCTTTACCAAGTGTTTCTGTAGAAACTGCGGGCTCGTTTATATGACCTTGGTCTGCCAGGGAGGCTAAAAACACATCTTTTAGATCTGTCATCGTTGATTTCAATTCCATTTCAATCACGTCCCTTTCCGCCTTCATTGTCTCTACCTGCGTTAATTCCCGGTATAGTTGTACAAATATATTTTCATTGAAAGCTCATTAAAAAATTAAAAAGTGTTACTTCTTCCATGAGTTGTTTTAATCTCAGGCATGCTGGTGTGTCCTTATTGCACCATCCAGGCTGAGGCAAACGTTCTTTCATCTTCTCAACCCCACCGCTCAACAGAATGATTCCTTTCTTGTTTTGTTGAAATTTATCATTTACTTTCTAAAAAAAATAATCACCAAATCGTTAAGTATTTGCATAATATTTGTTCAATATAGAAGAAGAAGAAAAATAACTTTATTCTTGGACTGGTGTCCCCTAAGAATAATTTACATGAACTAAATAAAGGAAGTTCCTTCTATGAAGTTAAAAGCAAAGATATACATCTTGGCACAATGTATACCAATAAGGCAGGACAGAAGAAAAAATTACGAGAATATTAAACAAAATTAACAAATGTTAATGTGAGGTCTCTGCTTGGAGGGAGAGGAGGTGATTATACAGGTGGGATTTAAAGGAAGAAAAGGAGGCAGCGTGACGAATAGAAAGGGGAAGGGAGTTCCAGAGTTTAGGGGCTCGGATCAGAAATGATCTTTCGAAGGTATGGGTTGTATGTTGCGGAAGGATAAGGTCGATTGGGGATGAGCGGGTCTTACGAGTGAGATGTGAGGAGTTGAATTGGAGGGATTGGATGACGAGGTGTGGGTGGACTGGAAAAGAAAGCAACCTAGGAAATACTGTGCATGGAAGGAGGGGAATACAACCCTGACACCCGGGATCCCCGTGGGGTGCCGTACACAAATCTTACGCAACAATTCATAATACCCTTCAATCGCGAGTTCTCCCCATCCGAGAGACCACCGTATGCCAAACAGCTATAGTCGAAAAAGGGAAGTATAAGGGAAGATACAAGGAGTTTGCGGGTGGAGAAAGGTAAGAGAGGCTGAGGGAGGCAATGGAATGGCGGGAAATTTGGGAAATGTGAGAATGCCAGGAAAGGTTTTGGTCAGACTACTCCTAGGTTTTTAACCAAAGAGCAGAAGGGGATGGGATAGTTATTTAGCATGAGAGGTGGGAGGGAATTGAGGAGTTGCCTGGACCTGATAATTATGGCGGTGGATTTGGACGGATTGAGGACTAGGGAATTTTTATGGGCCCATTCGTTGATGGAGTTTAGGTCTTTTTGGATCTTGAGAGTGGCCGAGTGAAGATCGGAGGGGTGGAAGGATATGTAAATTTGGGAGTCATAGGCATATAGGTGATAGTTACAGGACTGGATGGAGTAGGGCAGATCATTGATATAAATGGAAAAAAGGATAGGAGAGATGCTAAAGCCTTGGGGCACCCCAGGTTTTAGAGGGAGGAAGGAGGAGGTAAGGCCATTGGGAAGGGAGACAGCTTGGTGGCGATTGGTAAGGTAGGAGTGGAACCAACGGATGGTGCTGGAAAAAGATTCGAGTTGAGAGAGGAGAGAAGAGTGAGGGACAGAATCGATGGCTTTAGAAAAATCAAGAAGGACAAGTATAGTAATTTTCTGTTGGTCCATTGCTAAGTGGAGGTCACTGGTAATTTTTATTAGTGCTGATTGGGTGGAATAACCTTGGCGGAAGCCAGATTGAAGAGGGTTGAGAAGATGGGACTGTTCAAGGTGCCTGGAAACTTGTGCTTGGACTAATCTTTCTAGGGGCTTGGACAGGTTTGAGAGGATGGAAATGGGACAGTAGTCTGTAGGGGAGGATGGGTTGGGGGTTTTATTGACAGGGTGGACAAGAACTGACAATATACTGATTCATTACCTGATCAGCATCTACAGCACATTTGATTAATTCCCTATATTTGTTTATTGAGTCATAACAAACTTTTGTTAGACGTTCAGAAGGTACTCGGTTCCATTTCTCTTTAAATTGTTCTTTTAGCTTTAAATCAGTAGCTTGCTCTTCATCAAGAGCTCTTTGAGTCTGAAATATATTTACAAGTTTTAAAAGGTAATGCATAAATTATATCAACTGAATCAACAACAAACCTCCATTAAAATATCATTGTTTCTTTGTAAGAGTTGCGGGAGTTCGTTTAACTTCTTTTCAAGCATTTCTATTCCTCCTTTTTGTATAACATTGTTTGATTTTTCGATGAGAGATTGAGGAACCGTTTCACCCGAGCTTTCTTCCAGAGCAGCAGGTAAATTCAATGAAGAAAGTACACTAAAAAAAAGGTAAAATTATATCAAGATTCCAACACAGAATAATTTAAATTGCACCTGTTCAACAACTGCGTAGCTGTTCTCAATTCGCTGATTTCCCTATTAACGAGTTCGGCTTTTCTAATTTCATATGCAGCTAAGGCCTGATGAACTGGAAGTGGAACCAGCCCCTCAAACAAGTCTGCATTGTTAACAATTAACAAAATATTAAACCAAAATAATCTTATAAAAAGAAAAAAGGTACCTTTGAAATGAGAAGATAACTGGGAAGGTAGAGGAATTTGTTTTGCTAATGCTGCCCTTTGAATTGGTGCCAATTGTTTCAAATCAGGGATTCGGTCATGATAAATAAAATCATTGTCTTTTGTAGCGGCAGCCAAAGCTCTTTCTGCTTTAGAGACATAATCGTTGAACATGTTTGGATGACCTGATCTCTGCTGGGCACACTTCAGTAGCTCGACTGCTCTCTTCATGCAAAACAAATTTCTTGTAGATTTTTTTTTTTTTTTTTTAAACCCCCGATACAACTTACTTGCAGTCTTGCTATCTCTTCCCCCACTAATTTTTCACCTTTGCAAACTATACTTTGGAAATAATGTGCCAATCCGATAAAGGCAGCTTGCTTTCCTGCTACCTAGATACGTCAAATACACACACATACATATATAAAAGTAAAAGAAACAAAATAGCAAAAATAAAAATTACTAAAATAAAGAAATGTTTCATGAAACTTCAGATAATGTTATTAAATAAATAATGGAAGGATAAATAAACACTTGATAAGAAAATTATCTTGTTTAATTTACCAAAGGGATCCAGTCTTTTTCAACAATGTTTCTAACTCCATCTTTCTGCAAGAGCACCATTGTATCAGCGTAAAATTCTGTGCACTGAGCACACAGCTTTGCTACAACAGCCTCCTTCATCGAATCTAAGTTAATATTAACAATTATTAAAAATCAATCGATATGAATTTATTGGGGTAAATTCTTATACCATGGATTGCTTTCATAACAAAGACTTCTTGAGCCTGGGCAAGAAGAAGAGAGGAAAGTGCTGCGAGGGTTTCTGGATTAAGATCAGAAGTTGGATCCACCTGTATGGCTGCAATTACTGAATTCTTTAGGTGACTCAAAATGCCAGATGCTTGCTATTAAGGTTAAAAAAAGGATGAAATTTTACATACAAACTGACAGAATTTGCAATGAATACCTGAAAAAGTTTGGCAGCGAGTTTAAGTCCTTCGTCACTTTCCAGTGATTGACTAGCTGCAATGGAGCTCTGGAGAGCAGCAATATTGTACAAAACACAGACTTTTTCATATGAAAGTGATGGAAGTGCTTAAAAAAAAAAAAAAATAATAAAAAATATATATATGTAACAAACTATAAATCAAATATATTCAAAGGAAAATGAAAATTGAACAGAAAACCTAATTTTACTCACTAAGGCTAACTCTTCCCCCAAACAAACTCCCTTTGTTGAAGGCATCTTTCCATTTAAACGGTATTTGAACGTCTGTGGGAGGGATTTTAGTCTCAAGCGCATGCAGCTGGTCATAATACCTAAAGAATGAAATTATTTTTTTATTGGAGATGTTCAGTTGTCTTAGGACAATTTTTTTTACAACAAAAAAGGTCATATCAGCCTCAGAGTGATGGTGTTTTTTGGTGGAAAAATTCTAAATATTCAAGGTTTGATCTCAGCGCTGTTGAGATTTGAGTGCCCGTACCGGAAGTGATGAGTATAATCTCATTACATCAGATATAATTTTAGAATCAATGATATAGAAAGGTATTTTTACAAGCAAATGTCTAAGAATATATTGAAATTAAATAACACTTGATAAACTTTATTTGTTTAAAGTTGCAAAAAAAATCTTATGTGGTTTTTAATGGTCTTTCTATTGATGCAATCAAATTTACATCATGATTAATGTTCTATGAGATAGGGTAACTTCATGAAATAAAGTTGTGAAATGTTGAAAAGTAACACAAAATGTGAAATATCTCAAATACAATTCAGGCTGTGGTTTAAAATTAATAGAACACTTGGATACACCGTTATGGGATCTGCAGAACCGTAACCATTAAACTTAAGACAACAAAATAATGACCTGTTATTTTCTTACAAACTATAACAATAGTATGATAGATGTCCGCAATTAATAAATTTGCTAAGTTTCCATGTTCCAAAACGAAACACCAGACAAAAAAATATTATTTTGTTATTAATTATAATACAAATTATTCAGATTCCTCGACTCATGAAAACAAGTAATAAACCTCCTTTAGATTGTGACACTTTTTACTTTTCCTTACATCAATTTAAACTTAACAAAAAAAATTTATGTTTGCAATTATGTTTGATTTGTTTTTATATTTTTGTTGTTTTCATTTAATTTTTATCATTCCTTTTTATTTGTTTATATATTTCTGTTTTTTAATCAAATTTGTATCATTCCTTCTCACTTCTTTAATATTTTTATTGCAACATAATGCATGTGCATTGTGACATAATGCTTTCAATATTTTATTAGTTATGTTGAATATGTCCATATTTTTATTGGGTTGTCCGGAAAATAATGCAGGATTTTGGTATTAAACAAAAAAAAAAGAAACTAGTTACTTTAAAGCAATGTTCTTTAATCAAAATAATTTCCCATACTCTCAATACATTTCTCCCAACGTGTTGGTAACTTATTAANGAGTAATCCTGTAAACGTAAACAGAATATTTTATATAGATTTTTTTTAATGAAAACTTAAAATCCTGCATTATTTTCCGGACAACCCAATAATTTCTGTTATATGTATATTATTATTTATATTTCAATTATTATTTATTACTTATATGTAGTTTAAACTCTTCCAAAACTTTTGAGTGGGTATATTTACCGATATACATAAACAAATATGAATTAATATAAGTCCAATTATAAATTTTTAAGATATTAAGAAGCCCTGAAAAAGGCTTAATAAACACTGAAATCTTGACAATAGTGCAAAACTTGACTTTTGGACCACATCTTGAGCCTAAAACAATCAGAAGAAAATGCCCAAAAACCAACTGTATGAATAACTTTTTGTACATGGTTGGTAAAGAAAATAAAAGCCTAGTGTTCCATGTCATAAATATTTTGCCATTTTGAACATCTCAGGCTCATTCACTCATCCTCAACAGCCCCACTAGGTCCCTCAATCTGAGTTCCATACAACAGAATGGATACTCCACACTATGGACATGGATAGATTCGACACACCACCCTGTAACTGTCCGATCATTTTCATTACTCCACTGTCAGAAAAAAATGTTAAAAGTAAACGTAATATACAGGGTGTCCTTTTTAGATGTTTCAGCTTAATTTCTTTTGATCAGATAATTATTATTATTATTATTTTTTTTTTTGACTGGGGCTTCTGACATCTAGTTCATTTCAGCCCCTAACTATGTATGTATTCTATTTGCCCTTTCAAACACTACATTCATACAAATAAATACATTCATGCACATAAATACATCCATACGGCACACTCATTCCGTTTGGTCGGTGGAGTACTTGATATTCCTCCACCGACCCTATACTCAAACTAATCTAGATTGGGGGTCGATGAAGTACTTTTATAAATATTCCGCCATCGACCCCGAACACACACTCTTACGCTCTCATCGTTCGAGGGGTGATGATGACGTTTTATTTCACCCTCACCTCTTGCCATTCATGCTAATAAATGCATGCACTCAGACAAAACATATAGACACACAACACATAAGACATATTATATACAATAAAAAAACCCAATTTCCCCTAAAAAGCGGAACAGGGGACCCAGAAACCCGCTGCAGTGCTCGAGTACCATTTTCAGATTGGATGGTATGCCTACACGCTCCCTGTAGGGACACATCGAGCAACCTTTCTCTGCATGCGCGGGCTTTGGCCCAAAAGCAGGTGCCCATGTGTCAACCGCATATCAGATAATTATTGAAAAACAGAAAAATACAATTTAATATTTTTAGTCCAGTTTTCAGAAAATTTAAATGAGAATATATACTTTTTTATTCGCTATTTTAAAGAATTTTTTATGCTGAAAACGATGCTCAATAATATTTTAAATTGGCCAAAGAATAACAAAATTATGGCACAGAATGTGAAAAGAAATATATTAACTTCATTTTTGTTATTATTTTCAATAACAAATTTATTTCTTAATTTTAATAAAAATCCTGTGATTTGTGTGGTATTTAGTGACCGTCAATTAATGATTATTTGGAGGTGGTCACCAGACCGCATCTCACGATCTCCAAATAATCATTCTTTACTTTCTTTTTTAAATAGGACATTGTTAACAATAATGCCATGTGAAAAGCATAAAATTATAATACATAACAAACATAAAATAACAAAACATTCTAATGGAGCGGGAACTGACTCTACTGAATTTTTGGTATGCTGTTGATAGGTGTGCTAGTAGTGAGTATGCAAGTTTTTAGTTAACAAACAGTTGCATTAAAGAAAAGAGAAAAAAAAAGAGAGAGTATTCGACTAGTATTGAACATTAAGCACGACAAACAGGAACACAGATATGCCATCCATCCCATCAACATTATCCCAAAAAATTCATAAAACCAATAGCATGAAAATACTTAATAATAAAAACGAAATGAACTTATTTCTTTCCCATTCTGTGCCATAATTTTGTTATTCTTTGACCAATTTAAAACTAATCAGTTATTTTGTTTTTGCAAAGTATTATTGTTAAAAATGACCTATTCCACCAGGCCATCTAAAAAGGACATCGTGTATATGAAAACTTGGAAAACTGTATTTAGTTGAGATCTGTAAAAAAAAAATCATATCAGTTTTTACATTGTCTTTAAAGAGGGTAAGCTTCAATTTTTGTAAACTACATTTATTCATCTGGTTCTCAATGTAGTGAAATAAAGATAAAATTATGTGAAAAAAATTCATTTCAAAGACTTCGTGAAAGTTATCCACTTTAATCCAAGGGACCACTTACAGGATTTTTTTTTTACATAGGTATTACGACGTTATATGGAACCCTATGGGTGGCCTGTGTTTTTGAGAAAAAAAAAAACAATTGTAAACATGTCTTAGAATGCAGGGCCGCTGGATTCGAACCAGGAACCTTTATCTTACAGTAATGAGTGCCGTGTCAACTCCATTCGTTGGGGCCACCGACGCCCTTATGACTTTTTTTCAATTGTGTAAGTGATGTCATTGTCGAGGAAGATGTTACGTGTTATACATAATTTGATGAATACATTTTGTATTTTAAATTCTAATTTTGATGATTTATTTTTGTAATTTTGAAGGAGACAGTGGATAATTAGGGCAAAAATTTGTTTGTTATTTATTAATGTGACGTTTAAACCATTTCCTGTGAAGGATGTGAAAGAGGTAGTCTGCCTGGATGAGTCAGACTGAAGTTGTGTTCAAAAATATGTCGAATACCTGTAAATCACTTCCAACGAGGTCTCGAACTTTTCAAGTGACTTCCAAACGGCGCTTGACCTCAACTTCGAGAATTCTTTGATTTGTTCATTGTACTGGTCTGGCTTGTCGGCCGTGTTGTACGCAGTCGAGATGAGGTTCGTCAGTGGCTTCACCATATCCACGTCCGTGGGCTTTTTCAAAGGTAGGGCCAAAAGCTCGGCCATCGTAGCTCAAATTGAGTTTCCTTGGCGAGAAGTTCGTCTGTCAGTTGGTGGAGGTTGGAGAGCGAGTCTGAGTGGCCGTTGGACGTTGGACCTGGCCGAAAAAACCCTGCTTGCTACTTGCTAGTTGAGCTGTACCTGTATCTGGCGACATGGCGCGCTCTACGCGACGGCACCGAACCGCAACGTGCGTCACCTCTGACTATCTTCCAAATTTCATGACTGTAATTTTATTTTAAATACTGTATTTACTCCCAATTATTTTTGGTATGTTTTTAGGTAAAAACAAATTTCAAGCACCGTTAGGAAAAAAAAATTAATGACAAATATTCACATATCCAAAGATTTCTTGGCTCCTCATAGAGAGCAAGCACTCCATGTTATATAACAGCATATTTGTAATCGTAACAGAAAACGCGAACATTATTAGCTATTGGATTGTGCTGAATTTCAAAACTAAACAGATTAAGTGCACAAGACAAAATATACACTTAACTGGGTCCCAGGATTCGCAGGAGTAGATGAAAACAAAGAAAGGGGCTGCCACTCCTGATAGATCCATTTTTTGACATAGGGACTATGTATTTCATCACTAATTAAAAAATAAAGTTCCTATGCTTCATCTCACAACACTCATAATTTCAATAATATTACAGAGCCTTTAAATAACTCCATTGCTCCCTTCAACGAATTTTTTTAATGAGGTTATTTGAACCCTCGTACAAAGCCTATTTAGAACTTAGAAGTATGTTGGGTTTGAATGCAGGGCCACTGGATTCGAACCTGGACCTTTACCTTACAGTTATCAGCGCCTTGACAATGTCTAAACCTTTGCGGCCTCCGACGCTCCCTCCCCCTTAAAACCATTGTAAATATAATTTGCACTTCTCATTATATTTTGACTGAAACATGCTGTGAAATTAAGGGATATACTGCTCATTTGTATCCTTTTGCACATATAAGGACAACTTTGAAAATGTGTATATTTATTTACAAATTATTAATTCAAGCTTTTTCATTCTGAAATTATCCATTTTATGCCCTCCTCATGATATGTAGATTTGGATGAATGAGATCGAACATCTAAAACAAAAACCATAAAAAAATTTAAAAATACTTTAATCATTATAATATAAGTTATAAATTATTATTAATATATATTTACCTTTATGCTTGATATTGTTGAATTCTTCTAGTTTCCCTTCATACAAAATAGTATAGATGAAGTTTGCAGAGAAATATGACAAACTGGCCAAATAAAACATGTAATTCCATAGGACATCTTGATTCTTAAATGTGTACAAATAATTAATTTAGAAAACAACTAACATTTTCATAAATTAATACTTGCATATTGTATGACAATAAGTTTGACAAAACTTGGAAGAAACATGATTGGAATACTTCCAACCGAAGTTGAAATAGCATTGATGAGTCCAGAAAAATTAGGCGCAACGTCAAATGGCAAAAGTGAATAGCTGACAAACACAAACGACTGCATTGCCAAGTAAAGATAATAGGTAAATAATATAAATCTTGAATTCTCAGCATAGCCGATGAAAACAATGCATATTGCAGATCCCCAAAGGCCTGGAATATTATTTATATTTTTATTTAAAGATGGATATAAGTTTACATCATTTTGAAAATCACCTATTGAAGAACAAGTTTTTCTTTGATGGATTACCGGATACATTTCTTTTCCAATAATCCAATCGCAAAGCATAGAAATGGCACAAAGTATTGGAGTAAGTACTATCATGGACATATAGTTAAATGCAATTCCGACCTATCAACCTGGTTAGCATGTTTAATGGAGTCTTAAGGTTTAAATAATTTGAAACAAGCTTACGTTATCTTCACTGTACCCCTGCACTTCTTTCATGTAGATCGACATATAAGAAGATTCGGTTATAAACACAGTTGTCCAAGCAGTCATTAATTCCATGGCTATTGCTACGTACATAGACTTACTTTTGAAGAGTCCCTTCCAAGGGATTGGTGTATCCTAAAAATTGTTTTTAATTATGATTCACATGTATGAATATGATGATGATCATCATACCCAATATAGAGTGCTGACTTCAGTGGTTAGCCGAGAGATTAAGAGTTCTTCCTCAGTGGAAACATAAAAACAGGATCGAGGCTCATCAGCCCCAAAGGTAAACCATGCTACAACCCAGAGTATCCCAAGGTTACCTGAAATATAGAACACACTTGACCACCCACCAATGCTTCTTCCTATAAATGATATTAAAGCTGTAACTATTAGCTTTCCACAAAATGGTCCTGAAAAAATATAAAAAGACTGTGACAGTTTGCAACATAGTTTCTTCATTAGTAGTTTGTTATAATACCTAAAGATAGGGTAGCAATGCATCTTGAATACTCAGGGAATGGACGCCATCTTGTCGCAATTTGTAATATAACTGGCATAAGCAATCCCTGGAAATTAATACTGATAATTATATTTATTAAAAAAAACCTAATACAACATAATATTTATTACTGTAAAAAGACATTAATTTATTAAATATTGTAGTAACCTGCATTGTTCAATTTGAAACCGTAGTAAGGTGGCCAAAAACACAGGCAAAGGTGTAATATTTACAAAGCAAACTGCAAAGTGAACAAAGGGTTACATATAACAGGTTCCATGCATAATACTTGTCCCACAATAGCAATGGAAACCACCCTTGATCTCGAATTTGTAAATTGGTTGGTACAGGTCATGTTTGTCTGCGCAACCTTGCTGAATTAGTCTCTCAGATGCGTTTCAGTATTTTACCATCTTCACCACAAAATTGCTCAGACCCAACATTGAATATTAATAGGCAGACCAAAATGTTAGATAGGGACCAAATTACAAATTTTAATACTTGTATTCAACATTATTATTCATTTACTAACATCATAAATTTAATATAACTAAACTTAGAAATATGTGTATAACATTAAACAAGTAAAATTCATTTTTTTAAGACTGTGAAGGATGGGTGGTTGGGGGGCCCCACTTGTTTGCTAGCTTTTCCGGATTTTTAATTTTAATTTTATTTTATAAATCATAATATAAAAAGAGTAATGTAAAGTTGTGCTACCCCTCATCCACGACACCCAATGGTTAGTTGGATATTAATTCTCCTGCTTAATTTTTTCAGTTACTCAAAGCACTAAAATTTTATTACTGTATTGTTAGCAAATTTTCAACTATTTCTCAAATAAACTATAAATTTTCTATTAGATTATACATGTACAATTAGATTTATTCGGTGGAAGTATTTCAATTCTAATGGCTGTTGCATGCATATTTGGAAATGTACTTCTAAACTATTGCTATTCCGACAATCCAAAGAATTCAAATGAAAATTTTACCTACATCTAATATTCCGACGAGGATCCTCATAGAGATCATAGATGACCAACCACTTGTTTCAGCAAACGAAGGTAGAGAGTAAGATTGTATTGAGTACAATAACATGATTAACATAAGATAGACCTTATTGTTCACTTTACAGCATATAATCCCAGAAAGAAATCTAGATATGAAAAACACATAGAAGGACATGAATTCCAAGGAAATAATATCATCTAATGTTTTTTTCTCCATCTGTAACAAATGGTACATAGAATATCACTTTGCGTTGTTATATTCGCAAGCATAAATGAGTACCTCTACTTTAAAAGTATCTTCAAAATATGTCGACGAGTCTGCTTCTGTTTCTCTGGCAAGTTGTACGGCGATTACATGACTTGAGGAGAGAATGGTTCCTGTTGTCAGGCACAGGAAAAGGAGGAGGATTTGTATGTGCCGAACTCCTGTTCCCCATTGTTGCTTGCACACTAGGCATTTTAAATTGTGGAATGAATGACTCTTCTGCTTGTGCTTTGAAATAATTCATTGCCTTACCCATTTTGTATTGAGAAAATTTTAATTTTACAACTGGAGAATATAAATAATATATTTGTTGATTGCAATGTCACATGTGATTGAAATACAATTTTATTATTTGTTTTAACAAGGAAAAGCAATGAAAATGTTATTTATTTATTTATAATTATTAATGCCCTTATTTTTTATATATTAATAAAGCATTATATTGACAAATCAATTAATACAGCTGTACACATAAATAAATGTATTCACTCAAAAGGAATATCACTAATACCTGGAAAATCAGACAAACATATATACTATAAAATTTGGATTGTAAATAAATTAATATTAAATAATGAAAAATGATTCTGATTCTCTTGGCACAAAGGAAAAGATGGCAATGAAAAAAAGTACTTGCCAAATTGCCCAGAGCTGGCAATGTGCATAATGAAATAGAGCCAAAAGACAGATGGATACATTAAAAGAAAACCAAAAATTCTAAGGGAGTGTAAAACATTTGCCTAGAATGTTACCTTGTTTTTTCAGAAATAACGATCCTCCAATATTTAAGCGGATGGGGGGCATCTGTATCTGAAGCCAGACATATATATATATTACACAGGGCGGGCGACCAGGACCCGAGGGGTTAAAAGCCTGAGTAGGCCCGTACCCCATCCCTAGAAGGTCCGGGACCTGGTCGGCTCACGAGTCCTGTATAAACCTATTGGACCTATTCACAAACCCCAGGATTGTGGACCATTTTATCCTGGGGAGTGTTTTGGTTATGTCCTCTCCTTCGAAAGTATTAAATCTTTCCCTAGCATACCTATCGCATTCTGCGAGGTAGTGTCGGGCCGTTTCTTCTTTTGTTTCGCAGAAGCGGCAGAAGGGGTCTGGTAGAGTACCCATTATGAAGAGGTGTCTTCTCAAGGGGCAATGGCCCGTTAGGATACCTATCAGCCTCCTTATTCCCCTCCTAGAGTTAGAGAATAGCCATTTCGATTCTTTAGGTTTGATTTCCTTCAGAAACTCCTTCGATTGTCTGCATCCTGGGGACATATTCCATTCCTTTAGGAATTGTTTCATGCCCCAGCTACCTATACTCTCTTTTGCTGTGCTTAAAGAGTGGGGTAATACCGGTTGTGGTCCGACGAACTCAGTATTTGAACCTTCCTTGGCCAGGCTGTCCGCCTCCTCATTGCCATAGTGCCCCTTATGAGCAGGTATCCATACGAGGGTTACCCTATTCTCATACCTGGTGATAGTCCTATTAATGAGTTCAACGGTTTCCTCTACCAGTCTAGATGTTGATAGTTCTTTTTGTAATGATTTTAGACTGGCCTGACTGTCGGAAAAAATTTTAATATCTTTTCCCTTAATCTTGTTATCCATAAGTGTTCTACAGCAAACATTAATGGCCCAGACCTCTGCCTGAAAGACCGAGGTGTTATTACCAAGAGGAGAGGAGATGCTGATCCCTAATTTAGGTATGTGTATTCCAGCACCGCTTCCCTTATCCTTAATGAGTGAGCCATTGGTGAAGCAGTCTAGGCTACGATGGTCATCATCAGACCTATAGTTATAGTCACAGGGAGTAACTACCTGAAAGTACTTTTTCCCTAAAGGTGTTTTCACCTTTTTATCGCTCACACCCAGTAGTTGGTTGTTGACCTTACTCAATAAATGTAGAATTTTCGAGTGCCCTATATTATTTCCCTTATGGTTCCAGCTGCCTTCACTAATTAATCTATAGCAGCTGGTTAGTGCTTTAACCTGAAGCCAGACATACAGACATATAAACAGAAAAGGTGGCTCCAGATATGCAGTATTTGCTGAATGCCAAGCAAATGACCTCTGCTGTTGAACCCTCGTCTACAAAACAAAACAAAACAAAAAAAAAAAAAAATTATGTATATATAATATGTGAAGTAACCGAACTCAAAACATCTACATATTCGGGAACTGTACTGTATGTAATCATCAATATACATATATCACCAGTAATTATTTTTTGACAATAAATGATTCCTAACTAGTAAAGATGTTGACAAAGTGCTGTTTCTATTGGTTAGGAATGAATTGGCTAAGCATAACAATCTTGGAGTTCCTCGATGAGTACAAAGCTGCATCAATAATTTGGAATGCTACTTTTCCGAATCACAAAAATCTAAATGATGTTTTCGAGTATGTTTCACACTGGGGTCGCAATGTCATGGAACATTGAGGTTCTTTAGCATGTGCACCTGGCGCATAGGCCTTCTCACATGTTTAAATTCTCCAGTTACTACCTCTACTTCTTATCTTCCGTGAGGTTCAGTGTAAAAGCCTACATCATCCTGCAGCTTGCTGCCAACATGTTGATTCTCCCTCTTGCCCCTTTCGAGGGGGTGGGTTAACAATGTGCACTCAACCAACTGCTGCGCGTAAAAGGGTACCCACAAGGGGTTGAAATGCATCAACCAAGTGTCCCACGCACTCCGTAGATAGAGAAAGCAACTCTATCTCCCAGGGTGTAGGGCTCTGTCAGTGTCGAAACCTCCGGATGCGCTCCAGCCGCGGTTTCGATTTTAGTGGAATCTCTAACCACTCCCTAGAGGAGACCATGCCTTCGGTAAAGGCAGCCAAGACGGCCACAACCGAAAAACATCTGCCCCATCACCATTCAAGGGACTCCGTCAGCATAGTCTTAGCTCCTCGATGGCTGTATGCTTCGGCAGTCCGATCGCTCCGATTCCCGCGAGGTCAGGAGGTAATTCGGAGGTCATACGCAAGTACTATGGTCCACAAATGAAACACCTCTTCTCTAGGTACGAGCTAGGGGTCTCACCACTAGGCCACTGCGAGTCCTTACCCATGCAGCTGGGCTTGAACTTGGAATGAAAATACGCTGCTGGTCAGATGGTTATGCACCCTCCTATATATATATACACAGGATCTGGTACCCTAACCCTCGGGTGCCTCTGATGCAGCAGCACCCGCCGTCCGAGGTCAGCTCGCAAACCAACAACTCCCTTAACGCATATTGATGGACTAGAAAGGCGTAGTTTTATCATCCTCGCATGCTATACGCTAACTTGGTCCTATCGTCCAAATGCTTGCAGAGGCTGCTTGAGGTGACTATGCGCGTCAGGAAACACGAGCCAGCTTGTGCTTAAGAGTGCGTCACGTTCTCAAGGCTGCACCATTATTTTGTGCCTGGAAACCCCCCTTGCAACCAAGGGTTTTTCAATGTGTGGAAACGGATCGAAAGTAAGATGCAACAGTACTCTGTGCCAAATTTGTGACTAAGTTTGTTGCCATCACCCAAATAAGTAACCGCAGCAATGGCACAAGGCACTTGTATTCGTGGTTGTACAAACCCCGCATGTGTGTACACATAAGCACGTTATTTGGTGAGTGCCAAGATGAGCATGTTGATACTTGCCAATGTTCGGCGGCAGTCATCATTCGGCGAATATCGTATGTCTGGAGCCACCTTTAAGAATCCATAAGAATATACCAATATATACAGATATATGCAGATTGCAATTGTGTATATATAGAAATGTAAATAATAACCAAATACCTTTGAGCACCAAAAGGAATGACCTAGAAGGAACCACTTAGAAAACACACAATCTAGATAAACCTGAACGAATGAAATGAGTATGACAAGTTGCATAAATTTAAAAGGAAAGACAGCCCCCTGTGTATGGTGCGGAGTCCAAGAGGACGTTGAGCACAAGATCATCTGCAAAAAGTTTGAGAGAAAGTCAGATGTACTAAAAAAAGCGCACTCAAGTAGCTTGCCGCCCACCCTCAAAGACCTAGTCCAAACGACATCTACCAGGTGCTTAAAATTTTGTACATGGATATTTTATTCATGTTTATTTATTAGTTTATTTATTTATTAGGAAAATTGTGAGCATTCATTAGGAAATTTTATGCTGGGCTGGTTTCCTGTTGACTTAATTAGACAATGTATACATTTTAATATATAAATGTAAATATTTTAAAAACCTTTCTAGATACTAGTGTAAAAGAGGAACCAACGAAAAGAATTACTTTTAATTAGAATAAATATTTTCAATCATATACAATCGCCCTTTCCTCTTTGCCCTCCCCATTATAGGCAAGACAAAATGAAGGCCTTAAGAAATTAAACCCTCCCAAAAAATTTCATTTTTAGCATGGCAAGTAATTGTCGTTCTGCCAGTATGGGGTCAGCCTTAGTCACGGCGAGGATGGGAAAAATCTAAATGACTGCTGTGACAAACCTTTCAACCAAGTCACTTTATTTAATTAATATGTTTTAATTTGTATTTAAAAAAAAAAAGAAAAAAAGAGGATCTCGTAAGAAGAGGAAAATATTAAAAGTTCTACTCTAATATAACTAAACAGATTCTGGCCAATTTTGATTGTTGTTATTATTGATTAATATTAATTTATCTTACTGTTTAGTTGATGAATGCATTTTTAAAGATGAAATAGTTTAAAACAAAAACGTTTGACCTATTGATATCATGTCCAACCTATCTTACATCACTTTGAGATAAACTGTGATCTGGTGAAGAAAGTTTAATAGTGACCATTTGTTCATGATCTGAATCCTTTTCCAAATGTTCGGAGGCTGTCAGATCTCACCTGAGGTAATTGGAATTTTAAATTTAAAGTATATTTATAAAAGTTTAAATAATATAGGATTTGTGGGCCAAATGATCATTGTCAGATTTAAAAGATGTTTTTTAAATGGTTCAGTTTATAGGGTGAAGTTAAATTATACATTATTACAGTTTTCAGCTGGATAAATAAGTAATGAAATATAATTTATTCATTATTATTATTTTTGTTTATTTTAAGTTAATTTTAAAATTTTGGGTTTTCAGACAAGTTGATCACCTCGAAATCACCTTCACTGATTCACAAATCGGGAAGTCCATTTGTCCAAAACCAGTTTAAATAATTAGTATTGGAATGAGGCTATGTAGTATGATAAAAAATACAAGTATATCGTGTTGAAAGTTCTTAAGATTTTTAATCTTAAACAAAACAGAAATAGTACAAAAAGTATTGTACAGGACCAGTACATTAATTTAATTAATTCTACATTGAGCATTGAAAAATATTCATTAAACAACAACATTAAATTTAAGGCTTATTAGTTCAAATAAAACCCCACATAATAATTAATGGAGCCAAACTTGCTCAACTAGTATACAATTTCAATAAATCATTTAAATTTATGCTATTGTGATATGTAACCACAAAATATACCATTTTGTGATAATGGTCAGACACAAAATTAGAGAGAGATAAATACGTCCTTTCAGAGGATTTCGCTCCTGGAATTTATTGTTAATTAAAAGAACTTGCAAGAACTTTTTTTAATGGATTTGTATCTAATAAAAGGCGTACTTAGCAGTTTTGATTTGAAACAGTTTCGTCCTAGTTGTAGAAAATTGATATATTTTTAATGATTTATTTGTGTTTTCGTTAGAGGGAACACTCGTAGGGTAGGGGAGTTAAATAAATAGGACAGCAAGACTGAATTTTAGATGTGATTTGCATTCAACATTAAAAAGGCACGTTGAATTCATAGATTCATAAATAACTATAAAAATGTTTAAAAAAATCAATATGAATAATTTAACAACTTTTTCCGCCATTACTTCAAAGTTGCATGCTTTTAAGCCGCAGAGGCCAAAGGTTTGTCATTATTTATTCAAAAAGGCATATCGAAACGAGCCCATTATAGTTACATTTCTGCAACGATTTCCTAACATCCTTCCGATAAATTTTGTCTTTAATTGGCTATTTGAAAACACGGTAATCAAAGGTGTAGACCGTAAAACCGTTCTTGTCATTTGCCATGCATGACGTCCTCTATTCTTCACTCTACTCGGCTGGAAAATGCCCGGAACATGTCAGTTGGAAGGGATATCAGACAGTCCGCGTAGTGTTTTTGGAAGACTCGTGGTGTAGACATGTCAAAGTATGTGTTCCGCGAGGTATCGCTTCTTTTAAACGGTGGGTGGAAGATTTGGCCACAAATAAAGGTACGTCTTGAAAATCTTCTTAGTAAATTACAAAAAATACAGCTTCGAATATAAACATCAACATTATGAAAATATTTATGAATGAAAATATAATTGAAATTCAAAACGGCACAAAAATAATCTTATTTATCATTTTGCCGAGTCATTTATCACTTAATCGCCTAATTAAAAAACTCCGATTACGATTCTACTTAGACTGTACAATTTGTTCGCTTTCGTCTGCAGTGAGAGTTGATAAAATAATTTCTTTTTACATGATGATAAAGTACAGAATTACACTATTTACTTTATCGTATGATTTCTTGTTACCATTCTTCCAGTCACGCCTCATGAGTGTTTATTAATTTTCCGGTGAAAATTAGTAGATAAAACTTAAAAGTTTATTTCCAAAGAGATTCACTTTTGAAGTCCTTCCGATAATGTTTTTATAGTATTTCCTTTGGCCAAATTCGATTGACAAAAAACGAGCAGACCGACCACTGAAGATGGCGAAAAGTGAGAAAATGTTCGGAAAGGACTACTACAGGTATTTTACGAAATTTCAACATGTGGTCTGCTGGGTGATGGACCTTTTGGTCGTTACTCGTCGTTTTTAGACTGTCTATCCTCGCTGGTTTGGTCCGTCAGACGCGTTTTGCCATTTCGACATATTCAGTGTTAGATCACATGAATATTATGAAAATAAATTATTATTATACTACATAAATCGTTGTGGTCTAACTATAGCGAGACACAGTGATTAAGGCTGAGGTAAAATAGTTTTATTTATTTAAGAGTTTTTAGTTTTATTTATGAGTAAAAATCGGCTAAATTTTTTTAAAAAGTTTGATGCTTAAGAGGTCTAAAATTTTCAACAAATCCTTCCTGCTGAGGATTCTTTTACCTACTTTTTTGAAAGATTTATAAGCCTCTTAACTCGCCTCATACCTCGTGTTTTTGTCCACAGCTTTAGTTTCTTTCTCAAACTATTTTTCCAGTTCCAACTATAACACATTCCGGAGCGCCTAGTTGTGGTTCTGTTCCCATGGGTTAGATAGGTCTGCACATTAGTTGGGCAGCCTGTTCATTTTCTTCTACACTTTAAATTCCGGAACCAACCATAAAGTAACCTTTTTTCCTAAGACTATTGGGCAATTCAGGCATTTTCAGATTAGTTTGGAGCTAAAAGCTCCTGCATTTAGGGTCTTTATGACTGCCTGGCTGTCCAAAGGTTTTTGTATGTTTTTATTTGTTGCCTATACGTATTACATATGTCTTTAAGGCCATCGCAGTACCTGGAGGACACATGCCACGAGAAACCAGCCATCGTTGGCACTCAGTGCGAGGGATTAAGGTAAACTAAGGCGCGTTTTCGCCAAGAACCTACATTTGACAAAACGGTACCGTAATCGTTTAACAGCTCACTTGTTCGTGTGTGTTCGTCCTCTGTGAATCGGAATAAACGTGTTCTCTTTACTGCTGTATGTTTGTTAATTAACATAACCCTGCTAACAGGGCTCTTTTCATATTCTTTTTTATTAACTCCTGCACAAGTTGTATTGCTTGGAAGGCTGTTGGATCTAGTCCAACGGGTTTTTCCATGTAATTTGGTTCTTTTACCCCTACACCATTTCCATCTTTGATCTATTAGTGTATCATATTAGGCTCCTTCCTGATACGGGTTCTTCCAAAGATCTCTCCTACGTATAGCCACAGGGAAAGGTCTTCCAAAGTGAGTTTAAATTAGTGGATGTTGGCCTGCGAGCAGGTGAACACATGAAGCTCTGGTGTACGAACAAGGGGTTTTGCTAGGGTGTAATTTTTGACCTCTACACCTACTTCCTGTTCCATCAGTGTACCATATTAGGTATTATTCTGAAACGTGGAGTTGCCTTTCTTCCAAAGTTCTCTGTTATCTATACCACTAAGAAGGGTCTGTCAAAGTTGAGTTTTCATCTCATTTTGTCAGGAACCGTTATAGTAATCTCACTTATTTGAATTCTCTCCAGAATTGTATGATGGCTTCTCCTTTGGCTTTATTTACTTGTATCTCAGGAATCCGTCGGCACTCTCAAAAGCCACATTTTGCGCGTATATTTTGTAAGGGTGGGAGTTCGAGTGCGGTTTCCATAGACGCTGTGGAACAAGTATCGTCCTCCTTTTGTTAAGACGTGCTAGTCTTTATAGACATACTCATACGCCATCTTGGTGTTTATTGTGTCTGGAGTTATGTTGCTTATATATTTTCTCGATTTGTACTTTTGTTACTTAGTTTCTTTGAGAACGTTAAGGCTTCATCTTATAGACTGGGTGCTTTGAAGTCCATTGTCTTGTAAAAGGTATGAGGGATGTTTTCTCATGTTTGATATTTAAACCCATTTTCTCACACCATCTTTCTACCAAGTTTAGGGCGTTTTACATCTGAGTTGATAGTGCCATCGAATTTTCCCCTTGATAACTTATTCCTTATAAGAATATTTATTCTTCTGTACTTCCTTCGTGATTGTTCGCTTATTTTTAGATCGTTTTTAAGGTGTATGTTCCTGAAAAACACCTTAGAAACGATCTAAGAATAAGAATAATTTATTTATAAATAAATACATTCCACAAAAATAATATTATTGAGAACATCTAATTAATTTTTTAATTCACCTTCTATTTCGTGAAAGTTGAAAACCTCGGCCTAAGGTTAGACACAAATAAACGTTACAAAATCTTTCGACGTATTTTGGAATAATATGTATTCAATTAAAGTTTAACATGTATTCAGTTTTAAAAATCGTGCTCTCCAACAATATTAGCAACTTAAATTCACAAGTTTTCGTGGTCCGCTTGACCAATTAATATCTTTCAGTTAATTAAGGTTTTTAGTTGAGAGAAACTGTCACGAGAGGGATTCGAACCCACGACCTTCGGCTGGATACGCCGCTGCTCTACCACCTGAGCTATCGAGACCTCGATCCACTTGGACACTAACTTCCCAACTCAACCCCACCTTTCGATTTTCCCTCCTTTTTGCCATTTTTCAAATGTCATGTAATCTATTTGACGACAAATGAAATGCCCACAGAGAGCTTTAGTGAAGGTATATCTTTCAGTTAAGTAAGGTTTTTAATTGAGATAAAAAAGTCAGTGTGAATATTAACAACATTATTTTTATAGAAACGAAGACATAGCTGAGATTTGAAGGGTTTTTAGAACGAAATTTGAGGAAAGTGGCACAAAATACCAAACATTTGCAAAATAGCTGAAGATTAATTAAATGTATGCAATTAAAAAATATCAACTAGTGCCTATCAAGTGAATTCTGTTTTATATGAGGAATAAAATACAATTTCGTTTGAATAGTAATTATACTATGCAATATAAACAAGGCCTTGAGAGAAAAATTGTACGAGCTACTTTATATCTCTATTTCAGATTGTTGCTAGATCTTATAGTCTATTGGTTTCACTCGGTAGTTGATGTGATTTATAGGCAGTAGAAAAACTGCAATTGCCCTATACAGCAAATAAAGAATAGCGGGCGTCGGTGGCCGCAACGGTTAGGCGTGGACTCGGCGCTCATCACTGTAAGGTAAAGGTCCCGGGTTCGAATCCAGCACCTGCATTCGAACCCGGCATACTTAAAAATGGGCTTTTTTTCAAAAACATCGGCACCCCGAGGGTTCATACGACCCTCGTTAAAAAAAGAAAAAAAAATCATGTTAGATTAAATTCTATTTTAAAATCCATCACCAAAATAAAGGATTCTGTGAGTTTAAGAAAACAATAATTACGGAGAAACCTAAATTAGACATGGATTAGAAATTTTAAAACAATAAAGTTGAGAAAAATAATTTAAATTGTATATTTTTGATAATGGTCCACAAATCTGTTACGTTTGACAATTCCGGTGTGATAGTTGATAGTTTTCTTTATAGAAAAATTAACTTCCTTTGGGAGTCGTTATCGTATAGAGTAGACCTAACAACAGGAATATTAACGATAGTGAATTGCCAGGGAAATTTTGCAGGGCAATTATATTTCAATAATTGGTTTATGACCATTTTGACCAAGGGGTCTGTTATGTCAAAAAACCTTTCAAAATTTTATAATTGATAATCACATAGGATATCTATTGTATCATCCATGGTCATTATAATGTAGAGAAAGGCAAATGATAATGGTCTTCAGTATATTTACGGCATATCGATAAAAAAAGTTGTGAACAAAGATAAAAAGTTGCGAGATTTGTTTCTCTGATTATTTATTACCTAATCAGCTCAAACAACCCAAATAAAAACAAAACAGATTTTTTTACCTTGATTTGCACAGTAGGATAAAGGTCAACAAGAACTATTGTACGTTACGAAGAAATCTTCTGCCTGATTTAACTTTGGACAAACTATCCAACCAATAATCTCTACTGTTTGGACATTCGTGGGGCAATGACAAGTACTGGAGGATGGCCGAACAACTCAAAATTTGGACCACTACTTGGTTCTTTACAGCTGATCTCCCATTGCATTCAAACACCTTAACTTTCACATAAAGTTCATGTGGTAATCCTCTCCGCGGTGACCGAGTGGTTAGGGCGACTCGTGTTTGCCAAACTAGTTCTAGGATCGAAACCCGGCACTACACATGCACTGTTAATTAAGATTAGTATGAAGTGGTTTGAACCCTAATCCGCGATACCCAACGAGTAGTTGGACTTTAAGCCTTCTTGTAAGAAAAGAATTATTTACTCATTCTCCCCATACTTTGCTTACTTCTATCCGCAACTTCTAATCTCATCTTTATTTCCAAGAACCCTGGCTTCGGCACTGGAGTATCGAGGTTTATACGTAGTTTTACTCTTAATCTACAAATTGTCACTTGTATATTTATATAACACCCCAATTCCTCCAGCGAATAGTGTACGATATTTTGGATTATACCTGGGCAAAAGGCTTACGCGGAACATACAAACGAACTGACTGTAACTTGAGATATAACGTGTTGAAAAGACTACATGAAAATCAAAATTGACATTGTGCAATAAAAATGTATATACTGTCATCCTCGCACAATTTGAACCTATAGGCTTGAACAGTACGTTTCAATCTCAAAAAATTCAAATCCTCCAATCCAAAATCCTAGGCACGATAGTCGATGTTCCAATCTAAGTCACCAATCATACTATCCACTCCAATCTAAAAAGAGCTGAAGTCCCTAAACTGGTCCAGTCCCGAACTATAGATTTCACTCCAAACTGTATTCTCATCGCAAACAATAAACCTGCAACCTTTGCAGCTCAACGCTTCCTTCCAATGTAATCCAGGGAAAGGTGGCCGCGTGAACGTCCATAATGGAAATTATGGAGTGACCAATCGCCCCTCAGACCAACACATCAGCAAAGTCTGGCACAAATTTGAACCTATAGGCTTGAACAGTACGTTTCAATCTCAGAAAATTCAAATCTTCCAAACCAAAATCCTAGGCACGATAGTTGATGCTCCAATCTAAATCACCAATCATACTATCCACTCCAATCTAAAAAGACCTGAAGTCCTAAACTGGTCCAGGCCCGCAACTATAGATTTCACTCCAAACTGTAATTCCATCGTAAACTATAAACCCGCAACCTTTGCAGCTCAACTCTTCCTTCCAATGCAATCCAGGGAAAGGTGGCCGCGTGAACGTCGGTATACTACCTTAATGGAAATTACGGAGTAACCAAACGCCCCTCAGACCAACACATCAGCATAGTCTGGTGGGTCCAGACGCCCGCCCATCACCTTAATCAACAAAACCCTAATCCCTAAATATCCTTGCCTTAATCGTACGATAGCCTTCTACCCGTCACTCTATCGGTTCAAACTTAAACATTGAACAGTTTTGACAATAAATTCTTCTTTTTCTTTTAAAGTCTTCTTCGAGCGATTACTCAACTTGGATTAAATTTAAATCTTATCACGCCAGACATGTACATATGAAATATTGTGTGTTTGCATGTGTATGTACATATATTCTGTGAATATCTTCATTTTCGCTCGTTACATTTTGTAAGCAGTTATAAAAGAAAAAGAAAACATGGTCAAATTCATCGTAACAGCTTATCCGCCTAAATCCGATTACCAATATTCCTCGCAGGTAATAAAAACAGGAAAAGTCTTAAAAGTAAAGTACAGTTATTCACTGTCGTCGTCCAGACCATACTTTTAATTTTCGTCTGGGAATTTTTTCTCTGCCCTGAAATCCAGGTATAATATCTAAACGGGACTTATTAAATGAAATTTACGATTCAAAATTTCTGACAATTACAATTAATTAAGGTAATATATTAATAGGTCAAGCGGACCACGAAATTAGTGAATTTAATGGTTAAAAATGAAGTATACTTCACTAAAGCTCTCCGTGGCTATTTCATTTGTCGCCGAGAATCAAATAGATTACACGACATTTGAAAAATGGCAAAAAGGAGGGAAAATTCAAAAGGTGCGGTTGAGATGGGAAGTTGGTGTCCGAGTGGATCGAAATCACGATAGCTCAAGTGGTAGAGCAGCGGCGTATCAAGCCGAAGATCGTGGGTTCGAATCCCGCTCGTGCCATTGACTTTTTTATCTCAACTAAAAACCTTAATTAATTGTAATATATTAATTGGTCAAGCGGACCACGAAATTAGTGAATTTCTGACAATATGAGATATATTGTTGAGGTTTGCTGGGTGATTAAGCTGCAATTTGGTCTCTACAATTAGTTCAATTGATGGCGACTTATACTCGCTGGTCTGTCTGACGTCGTCTTTCGATTTCGTCATCTTCAGAATTGGGTTTGTCCGAACTTATAAAAGGGCAAGACGGCGATGGTTATTTTGGAAATCCTAGGTTATTTTGTTGTTGTGAGGTAACAAGTTCTAAGATCTTTCCATGGTCTGAGGGATGATGAACCTGACCCATCCCATTTGATCTACCTATTCTCGCTGGTTTTGTCTAGACACGTTTCGCAACTTTACCATCTTTAGTAGTGGGCCTCAGTGGACTATCAGGGAAATTATAGATCATCCAATACTTGACTTATTTAATTTCATTGCAACTATTGAAGTGTCTAGACGCTTCTGGCAACCAAAACAGCAAAGGCTGACCAAAACTGATCAGTAACAACCAATAACAAGTTCTTTTGCAGGTCGTCCATTCTCCCAATGTGATTTCCTCCCCAAATTTGAGCTACAGTCGTTGTTACAATGGTAACTGGATCATAATTCAATGATTCTTTGTACTATTAAATGTATTCAGTGTTGGGTTAATAATAACCAGAAATTATAGTACATTCTATAATTGTCCTAGAGTTGGAAGTCCTAGAAAACCTCTAAATTTAGAATTGATGCTATTGTGTTATATAGCCAAAAAAATATAAATACTATTTCAAGATAAAGGTCAGATAGCTATTAAAGAATAAGAGAAATATACCCTATTCTTAAACGATTGCTCTTCTACGGTTTTCTTTGGTTGACAAGTAAGATCTTTTCAATTTTTATGTACTCACAACTCAAGTTGTACTTAGCTGTCGTGATGTGAAAGTTTCTTCCCATAGTAACTGATCGCATATACAATTAGTTGAATATTTTGTGAATTATAAACGCTTTGTGTTTTTGTAGAATGAATCGTCCGACAGTTGGAAGTCATGGAAAGGACCTAAATTTACAAGTCACTTCAGGAATGCGGATCAGTGGATGGAGAGCAGAAGGACGGACGAGGGCGCCGAATCTCTTTGGAGGATCCATGACAAACTCTACGATCTGAGCAGTTGGGTTAACAACCACCCAGGTGGTTCCGACTGGATAAAAATGACACAGGTTTGTTTGTTTTTTTATTTTGTATGTACATATATAGTTTCATACGGTAACGTTTATAGGGTACCGACATAACCGAGGCCTTCGAAGCACATCACATTTCAAACAAGGCGCCACAAATTCTGCCCAAGTTCTATGTTAGGGACGCCAAAACGCCGAGGAACGCTCCTTTTACTTTTAATCCCGATGGCTTTTACAATAAGCTCAAAGCCAAAGTTAGAGTGGAAATTGCAAAATTACCACCAGGACCGACAACTCAGTGAGAATGATGTTTTACAAATCAAAAAGATAGTTAATAAACGAAACAAATATTTAAAGATCTCTCAGGATGGTTGATGGACTGGCGTTAGCTGCGGTTCTTCTTTCTGTGTTAGCCGCTACGATGGAAAGCCTGCTTGTCGCTACTTTAGCAGGGCTGGCCATAACGACGTGTACTGTCTGCGCGCACAATTTCTTCCATCAGAAAGATTCTTGGAGGATGTACCTTTTCTCCTTATCAGGGCTATCAGTAAGGTAGAAAATAGTTTTAAAAAAACATGTATTTATAGTTAACATTATCCATCATTCTTGTCTGCCAAACTATATTAAATGTCAGACGCGTTTCTGCACGCTGACACAGTGGGTTTAGCCGCAATGATCGGATGCTACACTACAGGCATATACTCCCTGAAGACATGAAAAAATCTCACTACACACACCCACACATATATAAATATAAATATATATATATATAAATATATATATGTATATGTATATGAATATGTATATGTATATGTATATGTATATGTATATGTATATGTATATGTATATGTATATGTATATGCATATGTATATGTATATATATATGTTTAATAAAAACAACTGGTCTGTAATTTTTAAGAAGTCAATTATGGTCAAGGAATCCTTAACTTTGCCAACATTTTGGTATGGCGAGCATCATGCTTTTATCAACTGTCCAATCCATTAAATCCATTTAATTCTCCGTCGCTGCACTGCGATTTAATTAAATATGCAATTACTTAGTTGTAATAATTTTTTGTAACATTTTAAAAATAAAATATTTAATACCATCTGCATTCGTTATGTAATCTTATGATTCATATTTACAATAACATTGGCACATAATCTCTTGAGTGGAGTTTGCAACCTTTGTTGCTCTCCCAAATTTTTTTAAGATCTCTAATTTAGTCATCTGAAGGGATTATAGGGATGGGTTATGTTGGACATGGGTTGGGTAATGGGTTGGAGTGGGTAAAGTTATCGTGGAACCTAGAAAATTTGGTTGGGATTAATTTATTTACAAAGAGTCTCGTGAGGTCGTTAGGGGTGATATTGGAGACATAACAGGAAGCGCTAACTACGATTCTGAGAATTTTGGATTTGGCGGATTGAATTCGCTGGATATTGGTAGGTTTAACAGTGCCCCATAGTTTCAGTCCCCATTTCCAAATCGGTTTCAGTATATTTTGTAGAGTGTATTTTGTTTTTTGTCGATATGTTAGATTTGCATCCAAGTAGTCCATAGTTACAGTCTTTTTATTTGTGTGCCGGTTCCAGGTTAGAAGCCAAAATAGAACCCATAGCGTATGCAGCCGGTTTTAGGGATAGGAATGCTGTAGAAGAATTTTGTGTAAGGGATGCTGCTCCGGAAGGTAAAGGAAACATGGGTTTGTTTTAATTAATGTTTTTCCTCCAAAGTTTACTCCATTCGGCTCTTCGTAGGATGTGTGTTTCCTCCGTGGCAATTGCTGGATCGGGATCAGAGGATAGCTATGTGGTCAGCAAAGGAATCAAATATGGTAGAGGGATGTTGGGATATGTGAGGTGTAAAGGTAGTACAGTATTGGTCCGAGCACACAGCCCTGTGGCACTCTCGCTCCCGCAGGGCAGTAGTCGGAGTAATCTTGGTAAACTTGAAAGAATACCCAGGTTCAACACTGAAGATAACAAATTGTCGAAATCCGTCCGATAGACTAATCAGAGAGAATAGGCAGACTAAAAACCACGAAATTACAAATAAAAGTATTTTTTATTTATTCTAGAGATTTGTTTTCATTTAGAAAATATTGCCTGCGGCATATGCAAAACCACATTGATACTTAAAGAAAAGAGAATAGTAGGAACTTCAAGCAGAAAATGTTCACGTTCACATGATTTCTTCATGAAAACAATAGGCACGAAGGTTATTATTTGATAATTACCTTGTTTTTTCTTGTTTTTTTTTTCCAGAGAGTGGCGCATCTCCCATGCTCTGTCCCACCATCTATTCACCAACACCAAGTACGATTTGGAGGTCATGCTGTTCGAGCCTATACTTATGTGGCTACCGGATCCGAACAAGACTTTCATAGCTAGATTCGTCTCCTGGCTCTACTCGCCGATCGTGTACCTATTTATATTCCATGTCCAGATGGTTTCTAGGTAAATTAAATTACAAATTGGCCATTCTTTTTACCATTTACATGTAAGCCACGAAGAAGACATTTTCGTTCGTCATTTCTAACACGAAGAAATGTGAAAACACAATTTAAGAATTAAATGTTTTAATCTTTCCACGAAAGTACGCACATTGGAGAATAATATCGCCCGTCAGAAGGTTCTGTTCGATGCTTCTTTTAACTCTCTCATTTCTAAAGAAGAAGGGTTGTGTGAAGAGAAAATCAAATTAGCAGAAGAAAAAACCAAATTTGTTAACACCGTGTAGAAATTTGTGGTGATTAGTGACCGTTAGTCGATGATTATTCGGAAATCGTGAGATGCGGTTTGGTGTGATGTAGGTTTCAGAAAAACATTTTCTTTATCGTGCCAACGTTTCGATCTTTATTGAGATCATCTTCAGGGCTCAAAGTGTTTGTCTTCTGTGCAATTGTGCCATTCTTGCGTGTCGTGTTGAGAGTGCCCTGAAGATGATCTCAATAAAGATCGAAACGTAGGGACGATAAAGAAAATGTTTTTCTGAAACCTACATCACACCAGACCGCATCTCACGATTTCTGAATAATTGTTAACACCATTCGCAATAAAGATAAAGAAATAAATAAAGTTACGGATTTACTCGATTGGAATTTATCCTCATCTTTAATGTTTCGACCCAGACCTCTTCTCATATAAATAATGCTGCAATTTTAATTAAATCACCACCTAAATAGTATAAAGTTTCCTCATGAACAAATATCAACAATCTTGGTAAAATTAGCGAATCAAAGATTATTTAATGAGCAATTACTTTTCGGAATAATTGAAATGAAGAATAAAGTTCTTGGGCCCAATCGGCTATCTAATAAAATTCCTTCGCTCATCGATTTTGTCGATAGCTACAATGAGACCCAGATATTGACGAAAGCTGTAGTTAAATAATTAAGGATTATCTGTGACAATTTGCATCGGGTATTCCTTTAAACTAACTTCAATAGCGATTCACCATCTCATCCAAAGTCTATAGATTTTTTTTTAATATCAAAAACAATTAATTCTTTAGATAGTTATGATGATTCTTTAGATAATTAATTATTTCGCTAGATATGGTTAATTTGGTCTTAGCTGATCAAAGAGCAATTATTCAAAGCGTTTTATAGTTTTTATTGTGGGAAAAGTTTGGTTGAGATGAAAAGATAAGTGCCACGAGCGGGACTGGAACCTACTCTAGCCGAAGGTCGTGGGTTCGAGCCCCGCTGGTGGCACTAATCTTTTCATCCCGACCACACACTACACAAACATTATAAATCACTTTGATTAATTTTTTAGATTTGGTCGACTTTACGTCAAGTGTTTATATTATCCATTATAGCAGGGATCAATGATATCGACTATAGTTTGTTGGCCTCTTTGAAAATATTTTTTTTTCAGATTCTTCACTTATCACCATAACTTAATTTTATAATTACAATTAATTAATCTCTCTAATATCGATCCACTCGGACACCAACTTCCCGTCTCAACACCACCTTTTGAATTTTCCCTCCTTTTCGCCATTTTTCAAATGTCGTGTAATCTATTTGATTCTCGGCGACAAATTAAATGGCCCCGGAGAACTTTAGTGAAGTATACTTCATTTTGCTTATTTCATCTATTAGGTTTCGTGGTCTGATTGACCAAATAAATTCTTTTCAATTAATTAATCTTTAATTAAGGTTTTGGTCGAAGTCACGATAGGTCAAGTGGTAGAGCAGCGGCGTATTCAGCCGAAGGTCGTGGGTTCGAATCCCGCTCGTGACACTGACTTTTTTATCTCAACCAAAACCTTAATTAAACATTAATTAATTGAAAAGAATTTATTTGGTCAATCGAATGGTTAGGGATGTATTATTATTCCCTTCTAAAAATACCAGTATTGAGGATTTTTGGATTATTATAAATTTCAAAGGTTTTTATGGTTATTCTTGGTTCCTACTATTTACCTCCTGGCTAGAAAGACATAGTTTTTAATGAGTTTTTTTGACAATTTTGAGTTTACTTTAAGAAAGTATGAAAATAGAAATTGTCTGGTTTGTGCCGATTATAACTTGCATTCGGATGGATCATTGATTGCTGAAACTTTGAATAAGTTGTGCCCCTGTTAGGCATTGATCACCACAACTCAGTATATCGTATGGGAAGAATTCTTAGCTTCATTTTTAGTGAAAGTTGCACATCAGTCATGAATGATTGCAATTCCCTTGAATCCATTGAACCGTACCATCCGGCCCTTGACGTGTTTTTTCCCCTTGATGGCCATATCAAATGCTATAAAACAGGGATTCGGATTTTTCTTACAACTTTAGTAAAACTAATTATGAGCACTTAACATGGCTTTTGGGTTTTGAACTTTACTCTTTTGAGCTGGATTTGGAGTTTAATGAGTTTATAGTTATAGATTTCTGAATATGTTACTACAATTACATGTGCCGACATTCCGATACGAAAATAACAGGTTTCCCCGAGGTGCGTTGTACTTTTTTGGTGGAACTCCATCAATAAAGCCTTTAGAACTGTTCATGCTGCCTTCTTACTGTTCATTAGTTTATTTGGAAAGCTTTTCACTTAGCAAAAGCAAGTGCCTAACTTCAGCCTTATCCTAATCTTACATTTTACATCTAATGAATGAAATAATTACATTTAATGAAAAGAAAATAATATAAACCAGCTAACATGAATATGTACTCTTTTATGTTATTATATCTCATCTTACCTGGTTTATATTACTTTATTTTCATTCCCCATTGGTTCTCAAGTGAGGTAATTATACTATAAACTTATCAAAAATAAAAACAGATTGTACAAAAAGTATAAAACTAGCATAGTATCCTTCATTATCAGTTAAATAAAGAAGATTATGCTAGTTATGCTTCTGTTAGAATTGAAGTGAAGAATTGTATTGCGAAAGATTATGATGTTTTTGAAACTTAAGCGGAGCTGAATACTCAGTAGCGTGCTAAGGAGTGCTTGTCGTATGTTCATGATAAAAGGAAGGCAAATCTATATCCAATTTCTTTGGTGTCGGGTGGTAAAGCATTGACTGATGATTACCAACTTGCTGTGAAATTGGCTGAACTCTTTAGTTCATGTTTTAAGGAATCTAATTATTCTGTGCCCAATATGGAATTTCTGGTTGGCTCTATATTGCTTCATCAGATTACAGTGGATAAAAAGTAGTTATGGAAAAGTTACAATTTAAGCGCTTAGGAAACGTGCCGCTTCTTTGGCTGCTCCGTTGGCCATATTGTTTTCAAATATTTTGGACTCCGGTATATTCCCGGTTCTCTGGAAGGATTCTTATTTGGTCTCAAAAGGTAGCAGAAGTGATGTTTCAAACTACTATCTTCCTGTAATCTTAATGATATTTCACAACTTCTGGCGTCGATCGTGGCTGATACTTTGCATCATTTTGACTGATGTACTGACTCTTGTGCAACAGCTGTTCACAAGAAACCCTTCTCCACATCAGTCCTCCAGGGCCTCGCTGGAGTATTTGCTACTACCACCAAGATCTGCACCGGCGATGGCTCCAGGCGGGCTCACGCCCCGACCCTTCTGCTCACATCGCCGCGACCCTCTTACTCATCAGGGCATAACGGCGCCTCTCGCGAGAGGCCCGCTTTGCCTCTGACGGCAGAGTGTACGCACGTCGCTAGAGCGCCATTTTCAGGCCTAGTTGCTTCGGCAGGTGAGTTGTTACACACTCCTTAGCGAATTCCGACTTCCATGGCCACCGTCCTGCTGTCTTAAGGGATGGTAACCCATGTCTTAAGCAACCGACGCCTTTCATGGGTTCACATGAGCGTCGATTCAGGGTCCTTAACTCTGCGTTTGGTTCATCCCACAGCGCCAGTTCTGCTTACCAAAATTGGCCCACTTTGCACTCTGATCCGATTCCCGCGGCTTCACTTTCAAGCAAGCCGGGGATCTCATCTATTTGGAGTTTGAGAATAGGTTGAGGTCGTTTCGACCCCAAGGCCACTAATCATTCGCTCTACCGGATGAGACTCGTCTCAACCGAGCGCAAGCTATCCTGAGGGAAACTTCAGAGGGAACCAGCTACTAGATGGTTCGATTGGTCTTTCGCCACTATACCCAGCCCCGACGATCGATTTGCACGTCAGAATCGCTGCGGACCTCCACCAGGGTTTCCCCTGGCTTCGTCCTGGCCAGGCATAGTTCACCATCTTTCGGGTATCAGCGTGTGCGCTACAGGTGCGCCTCCACTCGTAACGAGAAAGAGACGCCCCGGGAGTGCGGGGCGCCGCCTGCGAAGGACGGACGCCCATCTTCCCTCGG